ATTGCTCATGTCTCATATTATGTCCATATTTTGATGTTGATACGATAATGATACATCTTTCAGCCATAACGCAGAGACCAAGGTCATTGGATTGAACAAGGCCCATGTAAACCCTTATGTGAAAATCCAGTCCATGTGGCGTAACAGGAGCCGAGGCTTTGATTTACACTGGCAACCACGTAAACCAGATTGTACTGAGACTAGGCCAGCAGATGCACCTCAGAGCACAGGGAAAGTCAAGCTTTTTATTATTATTACGATGAAGTACAGTCCCACACCGCACACGTTTTATTGTTTGTTTTTCGTTTTGTTACATGCTGCAACAGCAGGAAACATTCAGCGTTTAATTGCACTATTGAAATGAAATGACTTGTGCCTCAGCAGCTGAGCATGTGTGAAAAATAAATGCTCAAATAAATAAAAAAAATGTGCGAACAAATTCCAAATGTATATGACAGGTAAAGTAAATGAAATATTACTGTTCCCAGGTTTGAGGAGCCTTCTGCCAACAGGGGAGACTGCTAAGTTGTCTCCATCTTGACCATGAGAATCTTAAAAACTGCACTTTTAGAATCTCAATGTTGAACAATGTTTGCATCTTAAGTAGAGTTTAGCATGACAAGATGGTCTCTTGCTGGCTTTTATGAAACTTTTGTAGGGTCTTTAGGAACACCATTAAGACATGACTGCGGGCTTTCACATCCAACATGCAAAATCAATTACCGTCTCATTTAGTATTTATGACCAGTGCACATACGCATGGGAAGCAAAACATGCATTTTAAAATGTTCCAGCCCACATTCAAAAGCACATTAGTTAGGAGTCTAAAAATAAGAATTGCAATGAGCAAGGCCAGGCTGCCCACATGGAAGTACCAACAGCCAGTGTTAATGCCATAGCTGAATGCAATTTCTCTGGAATGACAGGCAGAAATCAATGAAAACCCATCTTTCTCATGAATCTATGTGACAAGAAGAAGTGGGGATAATTTCAAAGCAATTTAGAGTCACTTTGCTTGACATATACAAAAACATGCACACCGGTGAATGCAAATGTACACATTCGTAAAGCTTAAATCTTTGCAGAAATGCTTCTTGGTGGGATTACTGTTACTCACCTCTTCAAAAGTGTTCATTGTACGGATGTGATTGAGGTACGGTGTGGCTTTTATCAGTAGTCTAAAAGAGAGCCCTCTGCATGCAAAAGCAAAGCTGTTGTATTTTTATTGCATTCAAAAAGAGGAGGCAGCTGTAACCAGACATTCCACAGTAATACAATGACAGTTTCTTGCGGGATCACGTTAAACTATCATTATCAAATGTTTGTTAATAATATTTTCAAGCAATAGATTCAAAAAGACAAGAGTGCCTTGCACCACTCAGTGGGAGTCGGTAGAGAAAGTCTTGTGGTGGACTTGAACCCACAGACCCTCTACCAACTGAGCCACTGTCGCCCCTTGGTTGTAGGCAGCTTGTAAACATACTGTAGCTGCATACAACCAAGTCTTGTTTACAAATTGAAAGACAATATCAAGTTAAGCACATAAGATAAGATAGACTTTATTGATCATGGATGTGTTATAGTAACTGGATAGGGTATTTCTAGCTTAAGCCGGTACCCAGCGCTGAGGTAGGCCACCCGTGGTACGGCTGGTTAAATTCACCAAAGGGAATCTTACCAATAACCTCAATGTGAAGAAAAAAATTAACACAATACAATGGTCTTGACTAAAAATCATAATCTTCCCTCACTTTAGCCAAGAAATATAGCCAAAAGCTTTCTTTCATCACTTCCATAAAGCACAGAAATCTGAGGAATGAAAACAAGCATAGGAATTAATTTGTAGAGTCTCCAATAATTTTCACTAATACAAAATCTGATCATCCGTTATTAACAAATCTAACCACTTATTGAGGTTAAGGTGCCAGAGACAGTTTTCTATGCATAAATTCAACATTTAAAATAATGTCCTTCTGATGACCAACAGGAATGCCAAAATAAATGTGGTGAATTGTAAATGTGTGTATATTGTTCTTAACAATAGCACGACAATCAACTGAAACAACCCAAGCACATCCTCCATTTGCTCTGTCACCAAAAATCAAACATAACACATCACCCACTTATCATTTCATTCAGCGAGATCAAACGAAAACTAAGAATTAAGAATTGTATGTAATTTTGCAATTATACAAAGAAATTCCACACTTACAATCTAGAACTTTAAATGAAATGATGAATAGAGGTTAATATGTGGTTTTCTGTGGCCATTTGATTGACCAATGATTTAAATGGCCATTTTTGGTCAGTACAGTGGGGCAAAAAAGTATAAGCATAGCCACCAATTGTGAACCACTTAAAAAGGTCTCGTGGGGAGATCAAACCCACAACCTTCAGGCTCAAAGGCCAATGTTCTAGCAACTGAGCCACTGTGCTTAATGGAGGTTTTTTGAAAAAAATATTATTCTTTATTTATATGTATTCCCTTATATTTATATGAGGGAATACTTGGAGGGAAAATTGCCCCATGACAACAAGGTGGATGGTTAGGTAAAGCTGACAGAATGATTAATCTCAAATATATATTCAACCATTGTGTTAAATCCACCCAAAACAGACACAATCAAGTACAAATGTGCACAAATGTATGGCAAATATTATGTAAAGAAGATTTAATATAATCTAGACACTGCTGGAGAAGAAAATGCTCTAAATATCAATATTTTGGCCTGTCATGAATTCTATCAAAATGGGGAGATCCTTATTTTTTCCCAGTAGTGCTTTATGCTTGAAGGAACACAATACAGCAGCTCAAGATTTTGAGTTATTCTCACCCAGCAGTTAGGCAACAGTCAGACTTTAGACGGGATAGTCTTTACAGTTACTGTAAATACTGTACTTTAATGTACATTTATATGACTCTGTATACTACATTTCTTACAACACCATCAGCATAAATTATACAAATGTACTTTTACTCATTACACACTTGGTCTATTGGAGGCTTTGAGTGAAGAGGAAACAGTGTGGTCCTATTATTGCTGTGTGTGTCCGGCTTGTGTACGTTCTTTGTTGGAACACCCACATTGGCTTATCTCTGGACTGACTAGAGACAAACACAGGCTGCTCATGTGAAGGGGGTTTCCCTGGCACTATTTAAACTGGCCACAGAAGAACGCAGAGCCCTGGTTGGAAATCAAGCAGAGAACAGCAAGACACCCAGAGAAGTGGGGTCTGTCAGTGATGATAATGAAATAATCCGGACGGCAGGCGTGAGGGCGGAAATTAAACTAAACTCAAACAAAGTTTGTGTATGTACAAAATATAGAATTTCAGTTTGATTGTGAATTGCATCATACTAACAACAGTGTCTTCAAAAACACATACAAATATCTTTCATTGTTTAAGAATGAAGTAGGATCAAAAAAGCCATTCACGAAAAAGGAAAGGAAAAGTCCTCAATTTTGAGCTGCAAGATTTATTTATGATATTTTTCAGAATGTATGCGTAGAATGCATTTCGACGAATTTTGATGAATTACACACATTCATGCTGTAGCCCATACCTAAACTGGAAACAAGTTCAATTATGTAAAAATACCACCATGTCCACAAGTTTTTGTCATGGCAATAAAAAAATAAAAATGAAAAAAATAAAAAATTACAGGAATGGTGTTGGAGCTTTTCCAAAATATATTTAAAAAGATTAATTAATTGTCTAATTCTAAAATAATGTTTGATTCAACTGTAACCCTAATATTGATTGTAATATTGAAACAAATGACCATTTCCTGCATAAAACCAGCATTCATCTACACTTCCTAAGGGCCCTCATACAATCTCACATGGGAACATCTATTGGTTTCTAAGCCGTAGTGTAAATATTGGTTGTAATCTAATCTAATCAGTGTTGGTTTATGTGATCCTTCCATGCTTAGTTAACTTGGACTCGCCGTAAGTCTCGGACATGTTGGCTTTAATCGCACTTCAATCCATACATGTTAGAGCAGCTAATTGCAGAGTCATTATTTAAGTGAGTACCAGTATGTAAGTAATTTATTTATATAACTACTTTTTCACAGTTGCACAAAACACTTTACAAATGTCGTGGACATTATTCCTCTCACTCCACAAAGTGATGGAGGCAGATAACCGAACAGGAGGCGCATATTGGACCTAAAGTACACGTTTTTAGTGGTAGTGGAAACTGGAGTACCCGGAGAAAACCTATACAGACATAAGGAGAGCATTCCAGGAGAACACTCCACCCAAAAATGCCCTTCAAGCCTTCTGGAGGTGAAATCAAACCCTTCTTGCTGTGGTATAATAATTGTATTAAGTTTATGTTTATGTTTGTGTGTCTATTGTAGGCTTTACAAGTTTTAACTTGTCCAATTTATACAAAAATAAGGACGCTAGACGCATGTGATTAAAGTAAAGTCTCAGCTCTCAAGTCTGAACAGGCAAGGGTGCAGATTTCAAATCTACGGATCAATAAATAAATCAAATAAACATACACATCTGTAAAACAAGAAAAACGCAGTGATCCATAACCACGACTAAGTATGCATGACTTGGGTCAAAAATCTTACAGATTTTTTTTTAATTGCAAACAGCCCTGGATGGAGCAGTAACATTGTAGAAAATACTTTAATATGAGCTGTCGAATTAATAGACGTGTTCTTGCCCTAACCAGAACAAAATTAGACCACTTAAACAAGGACAATATTACATCTATACTCAACACTGAATCAAAACTACAGACCAGGACTAAAGCAGCTCAACAAACTGAGATCAAAAACAAAGCTGGAGTAAGATTACACAGACCTTAAGCAGAGTAAAACATATTAAATCCAGGACTTTTGACTCAGAACAATACAGTACCTATAGTAATGCTTCAGAACAGTGTTGGAGGAGAAAAAATGATTGAATAAACTCAGGGGTAAAAGAAGAAGCTCTCTGTGGAGAAGTCTGTAATTGAAAGGAAAAACAGACCATAACCTAGATGGTATCTATCAGACCAGCTGGAAAAGAGAACTGCACGCCCACGCCTTTTCTAGACTCCTAAAGGGAAGTATGGGGAGGTGGAGGGAGGTGATGTGGACAGCAACACACACCACACAACACACACGAAAAGACAGAGGAGAGGAGGAGGTACAGAGGAAGTGAAATACCAAGCAGGGGACAGTGACAAATCGAGACAGAAAGCACATGATCAACATGTTGGAAGCCAGGAGCCCTAGAGACACTGCCACCAGAGAAGCAAGGAATTATGTGAGTGTAAATTAAATTACACCGGAAGGGACAGTCAGGTCTGGACCTGCTGGAAACACGGCACATGGGGCCGTGGTACAGTGAATGTGAGAGAAAGACGACTGATGGGATTACAAAATAAGAGATTTTGGTTTATGTTTATTGGGACTTTGTGGTCCCAGTTTCTTGAATCAACTTAGCATTCATGGAGCATTCGTTTAGACACGTATAAGAGGAAAGAGCTAATCAAAAATACAATATGATTGTAATTACGTATGTCATTGAGTATATGCTAGAATAAACTTTAGAGATCCATGCAACTGATCATCAGGGTACCTTCTTTAACAGTCCAAAATACAATTCAAAGCTGCAGAAAAAACCTTACATAGAATATAATTCCTGCAATGACAGTTTTGTATCTTATCAAAATAGTATTGATGCAACAGTCAAAATACTATCTCCAAATAAATAAATACAAAACTGCAGTTAACTCATTGACTGCCATTGACATATTTGTCTTAGACCCTCTATTCGACTGGGGATTACAGGACAATAAAAATAGCTAAAAACAAACGTATTGTTGCTGATCAAAGTGGACAACCCAGTCTTTCAGAATCTGGTTTCAGATTTTACATAGTCTTAGGAAATAATATTCTATGGGTCTTGAGAAGGGCGACAGTAGCTCAGTTGGTAGAGCATTGGCCTTAAGCCCAGAAGGTGGGTTCAATTCCCACCTCTGCACCTTCTCCACCGACTCCCACTGATGACTGCTGTCGTTGTGTCCTTGGGCAAGACACTTAACCCCACTTTGCCCAAAGCCCCCACTGAAAGATCAAGGCTATGCTCACACTCAGAGAGCAGCCGTCCTCCTGCGGACTCACCACCTGCAGAGGGTCAGTGAGGGGCTGGTGCTATGAGACTTGGGTGGCATCTCTGACTGCCACCCCCCTGACCCAGAAATGGATTAAAGGGTAGAAAATGGATGGATGGATGGATGGGTCTTGAGAATCAGTGAACTCATCAAAAATGGTTGGCAGTCAATGAGTTAAAACACTACTCTTTCAGAATAAAAAAATGGTATTAATTAGTGTCAGGGAAAGTGCCAATGATTATAGTTTCTAAATGTCTCGTTTATTTTTTATTGTCCAGCTGAGAGCTTTCACAAGAAGCAGCAGTTTGATGATGTAGGCTTGGGGTACTGTGTCTCCGCAAAGGTCATTCCAACATTCAGGAAGATTAGCAATTCAGATTTGGCTAAAGGGGGCTAAGAGGCTGCGATGGCCTTGCTTGTCTTATTACATTAGTGTATAGTGGGAGTTTGCTATCATTGAGAGCTAAGGAAATCAACATTTACTAACAATTCATGCTCACGGCAAGCCTCACACATACAAACAAAGAATAGTCACAACACATCTGGCCTTGCTTGACATCACTTGCAGGAATCAAAATATCCAAAAGGGCTCTCTCTAACCTCTCCCCTCTGTTTTGGCCATGTACATACTTATGACTTTTGAGACTATCATTGCTTGGTACATTATGGCCAAACACTTTCTCAAACAACACCTCCTCCAAGTGCCAAACCCTACAACCTCATTTAAAGATTTTATAGCCGAAGTTCCCCTTGGTGAGGGCCCAGAAAAGCAGTCGATTGTGTATTTTCAGAACCATGGACAGCTCCACACAAGCAATCTGACCCTGCCACAGTCCTCTGCACAGCAAAAAACACATACATGTATAATATATCAGGATGACAAAGTGGTGTCATGATGTTGGAAAATAGCAGTTTACAATACATGCCTCATCAATGTCAGGATTTCACGTTCTTATATGTGTCAGTAATTTTTTTATGATTATATATTTTTAGACAAGATTTATTGGGAGGGAGTCACAAGCCACTATGTGTCTTGCCACAACAAGCAAGCTGGGGACAATACGAAAGCTGAAATTAGTAGCATGAATCACCAGTGTGTTGTAACTAAATGGAGTACTCAGCAATTGTCTAATAGTGTCACTGAGGGGGAGCTGCTCCTCTCTCACCAAACGCCAAATGTCAGTGCTACACTCTCAAAGCAGAGGAAGATTAGCTTCAGAAAAGACAGAGGAGACTGAGAGGGGGATGGGACGGTCCAGTCATGTAAATATTGGCAAAGGCATGACCTCTTAAGAATAACAGAATAAGTTATGTGTGCTTGACCATAAGCCATTTATTTCAATTTCATTTATATCAGTGTTTTTGTGGAACAGACAAGCTAACATTCAGATGTCAGTGACAAATTAAGATACTTGACATTTAAGAGACTTCTGTAGTGTGTTTCATGTTTACGATGTGTTGATCTAAGCCCTGGTTTGAATGATCTCGTTTACAGTGGGACCACAGAGTCAAAGGATGACCCAATGTGTGTATATGTGTGGGGGTGTGTCATGTGTATGTGTGTGTGTGTCCTGTGTGTGTAGGTGACCTCTAGAGTTAGTCCTACCTTGCATTCCTCCATGCAGGTCCTGACAGAGTACACATCCGTCTCATATTTTTGTATGAGGATCTCAAACTCCTTATAGTTGTCCTCTGCCTGCTGGTCCAGCAGCTGGAAAGTCTCCACACAGTCAGTGCAGCCCTGCTCGTCCAGGGTCGTGCAATTTGTATTGTCCACACTCGTAAACCCGTTAAACAAATCCAAAAGTGAGTAGGAATTACAAAAAGAAAGGTACAAATCGCTCAGATTTACGTAGGCAAAGTGTGTTCCGTTGTCTCCTTGGTTGGAGAGGCCCCGGCATACGGTCTTTGCGTCCGTGAAAGAGTAGCAGTCTTTGGACACACTGTCCGGGCGACAGGTGTCCATCCGCCTCAGAGGTTTGGTAGAATTCTCTAGAAAAATAGAGTTTGGGGGCTCTCCGATGAGTCGGTAGGGGTAGGGTGTCATGTGAGGGTAGATTGGGGAGTACTCGCCCATGTCCGTGACGCGAAGCCCCTCGTCCCAGCGCTTGTCCCGGGTCCGCGTTAATTTGGCCTCCGCGCAGAACCACAAGTGATCAGAGAGCAGGACGGTGATGAAGAGTAGAGAGGCCAGCGACAGGCGCCATCTCTGGGCCCGCTCAGATTCGGTGAATGGCTTTTCGTTCTCTCGGGGTGCGAACCAGTATTTTAAGCCTTCATCATGCTGCCGACGCATCCAAGCACCCCTTGTCATATTTTAGGAAAGCGCTGCCCTGGTCGTCTCCACCGCGGGGGCTGCTCTGCCACAATACTCATTGACTTTGGGGGAGGTGGACTCCACTCGCTTCTCCTCCTGTAAACGGTCCAATTAACGCGCCCGCACAGATTAAGCCTCTCGCTGCCACATCCCGGTTCTCCATGGCTCTCCGAGAGGAAACGGTGTCCTATTTGACTGAATGCCCCTCGTTCCTCCCGAAATCCGCTGTCCTGTGTGGTCGGGGTAGACCAGCTGTTGCGGTGCTGCTGCGCGCCGTTTGTGTTGCAGATTGACTTAAAGGAGAGCGACGAGCCACTGAGAAGCACGCAGCCTGGTGTCTCTGTCCCGTCGCTGGGGGGAAAGCTTCGAATCAGATCTCCCGGTGGCCATTGTCATCTAGGACCGCGGTGAAGTTGCCGCCATGTTCGTATTGAAACACTTTTTCGGAGAGCTGAGTCTGTTTGCGTCATCTCCATCTCTGCGATAGCTCCATCGTTGCGCAGTGGCAGAGCAGCTTATTACCTATAGCCTATGCACGCACGTACACACACACACACAGAGCCTCACACACGCACACACACGGGCATACAACAGGCGCACTGAAGGGGGAGAGAGAGCGGGAGAGAGAGCCCGGACCCAGAGGTGCACAAGCTGTTTTCACTGTGGACGAGGACTCACGGGGTTCCAGGCGACATTTGTATTATTTGTGAGCAGGATATACGAGATTTCATTCACAAGAACCTAACCTCTGGTCAAAATACAGTGTCACCATGTGTGTCCATGTCCATTTAGTTTGTACAGTAAAAGACAATTTTCTATTTAATCTACTGTGGAGAGGATTAAATCTTGAAAAAAGAGAGGGAAAGAATTAGGTGGTTGTAAAAATATAAAGAAAACTATAGAGGACGCAAAAACAAACGTACCAAAGCTGGGGTACTTAAAAAAAATACATTTGGTTTATTAAAACAGAAGTAGTCTTGTAAAAGTAACATTGTGTTCAACATATTAGAAAACATCTAAAAACATCATTTTCTTTTACAGAAAGAGCGCTGTGAGTCACTATTTGACACTTTTTTCAGAGTTCAGAGGCTGAATGAGAGTGGTCATCTCTTTTGTACTTTTATGTCTGAAAAGCTGAAGCCCAAGATATGACAGGGGCCATATAATACATGCATGTGAAAACTAGTGTAGAAACTGAACTATTTTGAAAGCGGAAAAATAGTTACATGGATTTTGTAATAGCACAGTTATATTTTTTTTGGTTTTAAAGGACTCCAGCTTTAAGTATGAACAGCACTTTCCTATATTATAATTTGTGTGGAAAACCAGTGAATGTAACGAGATTGCTTGTATCCAATGACATCGACAAAAGCCTCACATAAATAAATATATTAATAAAATACCAGGGTGCCTCCACAGGTAATATTTCATTGCTTCATGTTGGGAGGCCAGATTACTGTCAGCACCTCAGATGTTGCCAATCAACAACATAAGGCGAGTGTGTGCGTCCCAGCGGTGAGCTCCAGCACTGTCCTACCTGTGTGTGTGTGAGTTGAATACCGATTGGTGGACCTTGGATCTAGTGCTTTCTTGGTAACTGTAATCGGTTGCCAGACATGACTCATACGGAATGCATGCAGGAGAATGGGCTGTTGTTGTAGTCTCCGCGGGAACATCTGCACATACAGAAGAGAAAGCCATTGTGTCATCTCTCTGTACTGACAGGAGCGAAGACTGAGACAGTGAGGCTGATGCTGCTGCTATTGTTGCTATCAATACAGTTCCTCAGATCTATTTCAGCATCAGTGTCCCAAATGGGCAGTGTCGTTTACTTTTAGCTCGAGAGTCTATTTATGGTCTGTTCTTGCGCCGTAAAAAAGACATGTCCAAAAATAAGTGTACCCAGGGTCTGTTATATCGTCTTTGATTCTTGAAGACGTACTTGCTCATATCATATTATTGCAGAGATAATATTACAGCCACCATGAGTCATAAAGCTTCCAAGTTTAAGTAAATAACCATTGACAGTTCTAAATTTGGGAGCAGAAGAGAAAGGTTGTATGATTAGTCGGGGCGTCTTATTTGCCAAGCTGTGATAATTTAGCCTTTACACTGCCCACAGAAGGAAGTGGCGTTTTTTTGATAAAGCATTTCTGAATAATGAAGACAAGTAAAGAAAGAACACTAAGCTATGAAAGTCTTTTCATGTAAATATTTGATCAATGGTATTTGGAGAAAGATATGAAATATACTTGACTAGATACTTTGCATTGAAGATAACTGCGACTCTTTAGTGTTAAAATATTCATGAATAAAGTACACTGAATTAGCAATAGGGGGATCTCTTGCTAATTTAGAGTACTTACTGTATTTTTATAATAGTTTTACATAAGTATTTAACAGCATCCCTACTGTAAATGTAATGTGCGCTCTATAAATGTCGGGAAAATGGGAAAATGTTGCTTATCTCGACTCCTTGTTAAAACTTGCAAATCTTTCCTTTTAAATTGTCAGTAAAGGCAAAAAACAAACCAACAGATTTCAGTCTGTTGTCACTCTCAATAGAAATCACAGTGATTGCGATATAATTTGCATTGGAATTTAAGTTCCAAAAAGTTCTCTTCTTTGTTGAGAGTGACGTTGTAGACACAATATTGGAAATGTATGCCAAGATTTCCAATAATTCAGCAAATAGCCTCGCCTCCTCTATACCTGTTCATGAGCCCTGCAATACCTAAAGTCTAATATTAGCTTGATTTATTTCCCCCATGCAGCTTTTTAAATGTGACCCTGTGTGATATGAATCTTGCTTAAAGGTGCCTGGTATTTAGTGACATTTAGCAACCATGATTGAATCCAGCTACACCACAAGGGGTCTTTACACTCAAACTGAAGCACTGTTTGTACAAGGTTACACTGATATGTGTGCTTTTTTTGTATACGTTATGGTTAGATATGTCATCTCTGTTTTGCTTGTTAGCAAGAAAGTATGCAATGTAAGTGTTCTGTGACTAAATGATCTATCTGAACAAAATTCAGGTCAAAACATTGCTTAATAGTGCAATTTTAGGCCTTTTTGGGTTAGAATGTTACATAAGCTGTGAGTTCACTTGTATGATTGACTGCAATTTTATAAAAGAGCATTCTGCCATTGTATTTTGACAGCATAAATTAGCCAAAAAACAAAACCTTCCCAGAGATGGCACTTAATAATCTATAAACAGAGCTCACTGCTGCACCATTAGCTGTTATTATGTGAAGTAATTATGCAGCAAATGGGATTAAATATGCATTCTCCCGTAATGTCCTGGAAGCATTCTTGCACGATTGTGACGACGGGATTTTGAAGTTGAACCAATGCAAATGAATAATGGTGTCTAATTGGTCCCGAGAATCCAGGATCATTACAATAATGGGTGTGCTATTGTGAGCTATACCACAGCGTCGAGCACCACTTTAGCACCGCCTTAGGGTTTATAATCTGGATCGATTGGCCCGACCCACTTCCATTCCAGAGATCCCATGGCTCCTTATCAAGACAGCTCCCTATCCCAAGGACACTGCCCATTCCTATAACTGTGATTCCTGACCTGTATATTCCCTTTGTACAATTGGTGCCTGTGTGGTGAACCAGCCGAGAGCTTCAAAGGAAATAGCCCGTCAGGGAAGGCAGCCATGGCTAGAAAACACATAGAATACAAATGCGTACAAGGGTTGGCACAATGCATAAAACAAAACAACAATCAGCTTCAATGTAATTAGTAAGGTAAGATGTCGGGATTTGTACAGCCTGCGAATATTTGCCGTGATAAAGAGAGTTGAATTGTGCTAATGCGTGTTTGTCTTCCCCCGTCTTGCTCCACTGTTACATCACTGACGGCTTCACAGTGTCTTCTCCTACATGCGCGGTAATTGTCAGGGAAAAGGGGAAGCACAGGCGGCAAATAATAATAGGCTTTCCCCTTCTTCAGATCAGTTGTAACCGATAAAAAGAAGCAGGGATTAATGAGATGGGCCCAGGACAATCACAAATAATTTGGGAGAGAAAGACCAGATTGTGCCACACACCATCCTTACTTCTGTATTTCATGATTAGAACCTGCCATCGGGGTCTCCAACCTTTTTTGATTGGAGAGCTACTTTTACAAAATAGAAATGGAAGATAGCTACTCCTTCTAGCAGATGTAACATGAATCAATAATGGAGAACACACATGTACAGTATAATATGCTGTACCATTATACCATACAGTAGCCCTGCATTAATAAAAAGATTCCTAGTTAAAATAGATAATGACTCAGGATTATGTCTTAAATTATGAATCCTTTGGGAAGCTACCTGAAGGGGTTTGGTGAGCTACCAGGAGCCTTTGAGCCAACGTATTGACAATTTGTACAGTATTTGTGCCAGCCCTCTATCATTACATCACACGCAGAAGTAAACCGACCGTTCATTTTACATTAGCCCGCAGGCCTAGCCAGACAAGAGAGCACACAACGCTAACAAAACATGACAGGTTGACTATATATTTTAGAATGTAGGTACAAACCCAAATGCCAGTCTCCACCACTGGGCTTTCACAACAATCCATCAGTGACTTTTGATTAATTTATCTGTTAACAGTCGGGAGTGTGAATGTGTTTGATTGGCAGCAATGGACCTTGTTGCATAACTGTTTACTGAACCATGTGACACAAATTCATGCTTTTTGAACATTTTTGCATAACATATCTATTAGGGAGAGAAGTCTGACAGACCATGATTAAGACATCAAGCAGTAAGCAAGTAACATTTTGTAAAGTACCTCATTATTAGACTTGCTGGTGATGCAGCTTATGCAGATGGAACTCTGAAAATTAGAATATCAAAAGTCCATTTACTTCCTTATTTTACAATTATTCTTTTATTTTTATCTATTTGAATTTAGGACAGTACATATTCATCAATGTGTCTGCAAACAGCGTCAACATAAATATGCTGGGAGTCACAGAGTGACTTTTACATAAATACATGTAAGTCAGAGTTCTTCAAAAATGGCACACTAGCATACGTAGGGATAGGAAGTCACATGCCCTGCCTGTATTTCCCACTGTAGAACTCTACACTGCACAAAAGGACAACAACAACAAAAACCATCCCCACTCAGTTTATCCTTCTTTGAAGAGCTCTGACACAGCAATTAATGTTACAAAGTTAATTGTGTAGCCATTATTATTATTTTCTTATTATGTATTTTTAGTGTTATTTTATTTATTTATTTTTATCATCAATATTATATTTATTATTTGTGCTTATTTTATCCTTTTATGGTATTTTTTTTCCAAATAACTGTGGTCATAAATGCTTATTAATTAAGGTATGACTGCAAAAGAAAACCAATAAAATATAAATTACAAAAAACATATATATGCTGGCACAATAACTAAATTGCATCCAATGTCCTAGGGAAAATTTATAGTATATGAGTATAGTATATCTTATATATATGTTGATAATTATGGCTCACAGCTTGTAAAATCCCAAATAATTAGAGAATTAGAATATCATGAAAGTGAACTTTAGGCCATATTCATCAAAATTACAACAAACAAATACTTGTTTGCCACTTTGCATGAGTATATTATCATATTTTGGGTTCACATTTTACTGTAGGTTGAATTACAGAAACAAAACTATTCTTTTCAATTCAAATGTTTCAAGTTTCACCTGTAATGACTTCCTCTCACTGTCAAAGGAGAAATATAAATATATGTTTTTTTGGCCACTGTCAATACCATGTTGAGTAAAATGACCCGATGAATGGCATTAAAAATAAAACAATATAAGAAAGATTCTGGTTGTCATATTAGTTCTTTGCCATGCTTGTTTTACCCAAGTTCCCAGTAGCGTCTGATTGAGCCCATGGGCACAGTCTGTCCAGATGGAGAAGCATGCCTGCGTACATCAGCATGAGTTGTCGTGCAAACAGCAGAAGGCAGAGTTTACAGGAACTCCAGGCCCAGAGCGCGGCGCACACTCCAGCCGAGATTTGTGCGCCCGCCCCGGGGCTAGTGTCACCAAACAACCCTGTGTGAACGGCATTGTGCTCTGGAGTGGAGTGGACAGGATGCAGGAGACACCAGACTTTATACATATGGAATATTATATGGAAAGGGTAACAAAAATGTGTCCAGTATCAAAAATGCATTTTGCGTATACTTTCTGCCTTTCATATCGTAGACCAAAGTCAACACTAACATTTGCCCTGTGACTATGGGAACACCATAATATTCATTAGATTGTTAAAAAAAATCATCTTGTAGACCTTGAATGAATAATTTATAAATGCAAAACTCAAAGACCATGTGTGAGCAGAAAATGAGCCTGGTAGCTCTAAATGCGCTTGGCTTCTGCTAATCTGCTGTCAGAGAAAAGCACCTCCAGATGAAAGAGATACGTCTACTCTGGATCTAACAGTAGTCTGGGAAAAGAACCTGTACCCTTTGAAGGAGTTGGATTGAAGTAAAATCTTGGCTATCATGGTGCATGGGCTGCAGTCACCTCTTGGTTGTACGAGGTGTGAGTTTAGTGCAGTGGACACACAACACAGACACAGCCTGCAGAGGCAGAGACCTGAATGTCAGTGTGATGAACCTCCACTGTTTCCACATATCGCACTGGGCTATAATCACAGTACATCTGCTTTCGTCTCATTCCCACTTATGGTATTGCTGCCATTGGTCAAGCTGGTCAGGAGGGCCAGCTCCACTCTGGGCTGCTCCCTGGACTCTGTGGAGGAGGTGAGGGACAGGAGGGTGCTAGCCAAAGCCACCTCCATCATGAACAATACCTCCCACCCACTGAACAGGACTGTAGAGGAGCTGAGGAGCTCCTTCAGTGGAAGACTGAGACACCCTCAGTGTAGGAAGGAGCGCTACCGCAGGGCCTTTATCCCCACTGCTGTCAGACTGTACAATAAGTCACTTTAAATGATCACTGTGTGAAAACCTGAACTACTATTGACACTGTTTCCAATTGACACTTGTCACTTTTGTTGTACATAATTATTGTCACTTTTATTGTACATATATCCTGCATGTAACATGTTTGCACATTTCCTCCTTTTGCACAATCTGAGTGTTCTATCCATGCTAAATGTGACATGTAAATTTCTCCTATGTGAGATAAATAAAGCACATCTTATCTTATCTTATCTTGGAGAAGATAAGATAAAAAAAAATATCCTTTATTCGTTCCAAAGTGGGGAAATTTCAATGTTGCGCAGGACAGTAGTAAGAGCCCACAGGGAGGACACTAAATATACAAAATAAGTAGCTGTTTCTTAGCTACGTAGCTGTAAATGCTTCAATATCAATCTTTCAAAATAGCTAATACATTGTATATAGTGCAAACTTATATACATGGCAGGGTAGTAAGTAGTGAAAGTGACATTCAGTGGACATTCTGAAGTTGCAGTATTTACTTATTTACAGATGAAAGACATGTACACTGTACAGGCTCAGTAATTCTCATTGTACAGTTTGAACGCAGTAGAAAGGAAAGACCTGCGGAACCTCTCCTTCACACAGTGAGGGTGAATGTCTGTCACTTAAACTGCCCTCTAGAGCAGACAGAGTGTCCTGCAGGGAGTGACAGTCATGGTCCATTATAGATGTTAGTTTGTCCAGGACCCTCCTGTCCCCCAGCTGCTGCATTGTGTCCAGTTCGATGATGGCAGAGTCATCAGAAAACTTCTGTAGGACACAACCATCTGTGTTGTGTCTGAAGTCCGAAATGTAGAGGGTGAAGAGGAACGGCGCAAGGATGGTCCCCTGGGGAGCCCCCAGACTGCAGGTCAGGACCTCAGACACAAAGTCCCTGGTTCTCAAAAACTGGGGTCTGTCTGTGAGGTAGTCCAGGATCCACTCAGACAGTCCTGCTGTCTCCCGCTTGTCCCTGAGAAGTCGCGGCTGGATGGTGTTGAAGGCGCTGGAGAAATCGAAGAACAAGATTCTCACAGCGGAGCCGGGCTTCTCCAGGTGGGACAGCGAATGGTGGAGTAGGGAGATGATGGCGTCTTCCACTCCGATGCCTGGCCGGTACGCAAATTTCTGCAGTGGAGATGTCTCAGGACCAGTCTCTCCAAGCATGGAGAAAGGAGGGATTTAATCAGAAAAATTGTCTTAAAAGTGCCGTCTTGTCAGTTTGCTTTATATTGAGCCGGAGGCAACTCAATCATGATTTGTAACAGATGTCCTGAATGCAGAGCTGTCTGTGTGACATAGGCCCACACTTCCTGTGCCTCATTTCTCATCACAGAGCGGCTGACCTCAGATGACTTTGCAGACACACTCTGCAGTCTGGCAGTCACGTGTGAGTCTCGCTGCACAACACTTGTTCTACTTCTCCTTTTAGGGCAGCTGCTGTAGAGACAGTAAACCTGGATCTGTTCAATGTATGCGTTTTGCACGCTAAGAAGTATTACACACTATAACGCATAAGTAACTACATGTGTGTGTAGTTTAGAAAAGTTACAAGGAATATTCTCCGAAAATATTTAAGATCAAGAGAACCTTTCTTCGTCCCTCAATGGAGAAATTTCAATGTAGCATCACAAGTTACAGAGTTTGACTTTTTTGCTTTCCAGAGAGAACTTCATGTCGAAAGTCTATTGTTATGTACAGACCACCAACAAGTACACAAAGAACAAATTGAACTCAGCAGAGAAGAGGCCCCACCCTCGTGATGATACAGTATTTGACATTAGCTGTTTAGCAATGGCTGAAAACGATCTTCACCCTTCTACTTTTTCAGAAGAAGAGATTGAACTCTATTTTTTTTTAAGAGATTATATTTATGTACATAAAATGAACACTAACATAGCATCTGATGTTATTGTTTTGCATATTAAATGTTGTATATGTATTATCTTGTATTAGGGCTTTACAGTAGCTTGACAATCCGTTAATGCAACCATAATCCTAACATTTGGGGACAATTTCTAGATTTTTACCCAGTAAATGTCCATCAGACATAAAATACCTTTGACACCTCGACAAAGATAATGGAACCTCCTAACCCTAACACTAACCCCTACAGTGCCTTGCAAAAGTATTCGGCCCTCTTGAACCTTTCAATATTTCCCCACATTTCAGGCTTCAAACATAAAGATATAAAAATTAAAAAAATTGTCAAGAATCAACAACAAGTGGGACACAATTGGGAAGTCGAACAAAATGTATTGAATAATTTTAACTTTTTTAACAAATAAAAAACTGAAGTGGGGCATGCAATATTATTCGGCCCCCTTGCGCTAATACTTTATAGCGCCACCATTTGCTGCAATTACAACTGCAAGTCGCTTGGGGTATGTCTCTACCAGTTTTGAACATCGAAAGACTGGAATTCTTGCCCATTCTTCCTTGCAAAACAGCTTGAGCTCAGTAAGGTTGGATGGAGAGCGTTTGTGAACAGCAGTCTTCAGCTCTTTCCACAGATTCTCGACTGGATTCAGGTCTAGACTTTGACTTGGCCATTCTAACACCTGGATACGTCTATTTGTGAACCATTTCATTGTAGATTTGGCTTTATGTTTTGGATCATTGTCCTGTTGGAAGATAAATCTCCGTCCCAGTCTCAGGTCTTTTGCAGACTCCAACAGGTTTTCTTCCAGAATGGTCCTGTATTTGGTTCCATCCATCTTCCCATCAATTTTAGCCATCTTCCCTGCTGAAGAAAAGCAGGCCCAAACCATGATGCTGCCACCACCATGTTTGACTGTGGGGGGATGTTGTGTTCAGGGTGATGAGCTGTGTTGCTTTTACGCCAAACATATCGTTTTGCAATGTGGCCAAAAAGTTTGACTTTGGTTTCATCTGACCAAAGCACCTTCTTCCACATGTTTGGTGTGTCTCCCAGGTGGCTTGTGGCAAACTTTAAACGAGACTTTTATGGATATCTTTGAGAAATGGCTTTCTTCTTGCCACTCTTCCATAAAGACCAGATTTGTGCAGTGCACGACTGATTGTTGTCCTATGGACAGACTCTCCCACCTCAGCTGTAGTTATCTGCTGTTCATCCAGAGCGATCATGGGCCTCTTGGCTGCATCTCTGATCAGTCTTCTCCTTGTTTGAGATGAAAGTTTGGAGGGACGGCCGGGTCTTGGTAGATTTGCAGTGGTCTGATACACCCATTTCAATATAATTGCTTGCACAGTGCTCCTTGAGATGTTTAAAGCTTGGGAAATCTTTTAGTATCCAAATCCGCTTTAAACTTCTCCACAACAGTATCTCGGACCTGCCTGGTGTGTTCCTTTGTCTTCATGGTTCTCTCTGCGCTTTAAACAGAACCCTGAGACTATCAAAGAGCAGGTGCATTTATACGGAGACTTGATTACACACAGGTGCATTCTATTTATCATCATCAGTCATTTAGGACAACATTGGATCATTCAAAGATCCTCACTGAACTTCTGGAGTGAGTTTGCTGCACTGAAAGTAAAGGGGCCGAATAATATTGCACGCCCCACTTTTTAGTTTTTTATTTGTTAAAAAAGTTTAAAGTGTCCCACTTGTTGTTGATTCATGTCAAAAAATTGAATTTTTATATCTTTATGTTTGAAGCCTGAAATGTGGCGAAATGTTGAAAGGTTCAAGGGGGCCGAATACTTTCGCAAGGCACTGTAACCCCAAATCTGCTAGCGAATATGGTCCCCCGGGAGTCCATATTGTCACAGACCATGGGCGCCCCCTGTGCCCATTGGTGGAACAGCTATAAGCTAGCTTATTAGCATTAGCTATTAATCAGACATAGCAATTAAATGCAGAAAGCAATTGTAACATCAAACGTTAAATGTTGGAAGTACTTTCTCTTGTTGCATTTACAAAATGCAACTTTCTGTTACAACTCAACCTCAAGAAATCTCAGAAAAGGTCCTCTCGATCCTGCTGCTGCCACGTCAATGATGAAGCTAGTAAAGATAGCAACTTTGTGACTATTGATTAGTTAATTACAAAGGAAGATTTTACTTATAAATGGTTTAAACACATATTCAATACTATTTTAAGTTGTTGATGAATCAATGGACTACAAACTGCCTGATGAGGGCTTTTATTATAAAAAAAAATCTGTACTTTATCTGTATAGTGCATTTTTACAGACCAAGGTCACCCAAAGCGCTTTAAAATGTTCAGAGTTCAGATATTTGAAAAACAATTTATCTCATAATAATGAGATAATTACCTCAAAATTACGAGACAATTATCTCATAATTACAAGATACTATCTTATAATTATGATATATTATCTCATTATTATAAGTAAGTAAGTAATCTTTATTTATATACCGCCTTTCACAGACCAGAGTCACAAAGCGGTTTACAATATTTTTTTTATTTTGGGCATTTGTCCTCTCACTCCACACAGAGATGGGAGCGGGATTATGAGATTAAAAAAAGTTGAGTGTGTGACAACAATGCTCTTGAGAGCATTGCCAATATGAGAGACCTGATATGGTTATAAACATAGGTTTCCTAACTACACTCGGGCTTTTTATTGTCAGCACTCAAACTGCAGTTTGAATCCCAGCCAACACCTTTCATCGATAATCCACAGACAAACATCAATCCCTTTTGAGCAGCTCACTGAAGGCTCACTGGTGCCATGATGCATTGCACCACGGAGATGCTCCGTTTACAGCAAACGAGAGCGGCGGCGAATAAACGACATCCTGAGATGATGGCAGTCGTTAAATCAATCAGACTGGATAGATCGTTGGAAAATTTGCGAGACCCTTGTGGTTAATATGTAGGGGTTGCTAAGGGGTCATGTTGTGGCACAAGTGTTATACTGGGGTGTGGCACAGCTCATACAGTATCATCAGCTTAGCCCGTCACGATGCATTGACGAGGACATCGACCTTTAAGTCATTCTAGTGTCACATACAGTACAAGTGCCACCAGCAGAATGCATAAATGAGATATAAAACACTGCTCTCTCTTAATTCCCCCCATTAACATTGACATTTCGAGATGGGTCCCTTGAGTATGCCGCACTAGTGTACAATACCTTTTCATTAAGCGTTTACTGTGTGGGCCTTGGAGGAGGAGAGGTGACTAGGAAATGTGTCAGCCCCTGTTTGTGCCTCTGCAAAGAGATGGAGTAGACTGGGAATGACAGGACTCTGCGGAAACGGCTTAAAACACGGAAGCCAAAAGCCAAGTGTGGCAAGAAGAGGGAGCAGGCAGGCAGGAGAGAAGGTGATGTATTGGCTATGAATCCAGAGTCCCGAAGTGTTTGGAGTTAAATCACTGGGGCTTCCAGAGAAATGGCCATTCCACAGAGTTACTACAGGCTTGCGTCTAGCATGACAGAAGAGCTGAAGATATACAGAGTGTTTATCATGGCCGGGACGGGTATGTTTGACCCAACAGCTCAATCACTCTGACCAACTCTAAAAATATAGGAAGACTAGAGAATAAGGGGGTGAGTCACAAGAGGCCTTAAGAACCAAGCTTGTAAACTACATCATTTGAAACCAGGTTCATGCAAAAGCTAATCCCCCAAGATAATAGATAGAGAGATAGCAGCAGAAACACATTGATACAAACAAAACAAGTAAATAGATCATTCTTAAAAAATAGCTAACAATAGTATTGTTACGTGCATCAGAGTTGTCTTTCCCTGTGTGCTGCTGTTCTCTCCCTTCTGCTTCTGTGTGAAGGTGCTGTGGGCGTGCCCTGGAGGAGGATGGTGCATGATTGGTGGAGTGGGGGCAAATTGGAGAGTATTTAAACGGGGAGTGTCTTGGGCGGCTCGCTCTCTCAGGTGCCAGAAGCTGCCAGGTGGTAGCCTAATTTGTTTCTGTGTGGAGGTTTGGTTAGGTGAGTTTGGTGCCAAGTTACGTTTACAACACGTAGATACTTTTGTTAGATTCCCTAGCTTATCAGTTGTGACCACCCTTGTTGTTTTGAGTTCTACTCCACTTTTCTTTAGATAAAACAGAATAGACATTTTTTATTTCATTTCTTTTATTAGACTAGCCTGTGAGTTAGGCCTCTTTTGTTATATTTTATTTTTGTTCTTTTGGCACAACTGGGCGACGCCACTCCTCCCACCACTGTTATTTCTTTTTAGTTTGGCTCTTAAATAAAGACATTGCCAAACTCCTTAAGTGACTCTGTGTTTCAATGATTGTTTCACATATCCCTGTTATGACTGGTGTGGGTCCTTAACTGGTCATAACAAAAGTGGGGGCTCGTCCGGGATCATTTGAAACAATCATTGTCTCAGTGTGTTCTTTAGTGTTTAGAGAGAGATAGCAATCATGGTGTTTATTCTACAGGATTTCATTGAGACTCCCTCTCTGGAAATCCTTGACCGGTGTCGCAAAGACGACCTTTTGTGCATTGCGGCTCACTTTGGTGTTTCTGTCCAGAAACAGAGCCTTACAGCTGCACTAACTGACTTTATTTTCGTATTCATTACAAAAATGCTATCCATGTCCATGTAGTGCATTGGGATATACGTCCTTTTGAAGAATAATTAGCGCAGATTTGTGCTGGCGTGACATTATATTTTAGATCGAGTTTTGATGAAACAAGGAAGAGAATGTGTTTCGGGTCGCAGATTGTGACCAATCACAACGGACCACTGGCCCCCACTTTCGTGAGAAATCTACAGGTCCGTTAGCATAGACAGCTGAGTAAGCACAACAAGCGGCGGAGCTAATACCTGAAGCTTCGTGTCTTCATCACCGGTTACTGCTTACACAGCAAAACAGCCATCCAAAAGAAAGTCCCGTTCCTCCGCGCTTCCCGGTTCTATCGTTCTATGGTCACGCCATCCACGTGCAAATCCATATCCATGTATTATCCATATTGGGAGAGGCTAGCTCCGTCTCAACAGTGAGTGTGTGTGGGGGGCGATAGCTTCGTGGGTGCGGGGAGGGGAGCAGAAAGAGCGAGGCCAGCGAGTCCACGGCTTCAAAATCCCAAAGTCAGTTAGTGCAGCTTTAAGAGAGAGATTAAGCGGGTACTCATTGAGGGGCTGATCACTCTCGGAATCCTGTCTCCCAACCCCAGTGACCCGCATGGTGAAGTGGCTTCGGAGGGGTTTGAGGACGACCAAAAGGATGTTCTTTCTGAACAGGATGTGGTGACGGAGGTCACTCCAGTACGAGTAAGGGAGGTGGCGAACCCTCCGGGAACCCTCCCTCGTTTTGAGCCTTTCTCTCCAGATGCGGGGGTGAGTGGTGTGTCTCCGCCTGGGACCGGACAAGGCCAAGCCAGTTCCACCGCCAAGATTAAGCTTCGCCTGGCTCGTCTTCAGCTTGAGACAGAGGAGAAGGTGCGTAAGGCAGACTACGAGCTCAAGTTGCAGGTACGCAGTCTTGAGATACAAGCTGAAAAAGATGTGAAGTTACGTCAGCTTGAGTTGGAGGCAATGAAAGTTACAGCTGCAGAAGTTGATTCTCACAGATCCGAACCCACTTCACAGGCTGAAACGGGGCATCCAAAGCATTCCTTCGACGTCACAAAAAACATAGCGCTAGTTCCGATTTTCCGTGAACGGGAAGTCGATGCCTATTTTGGTGCGTTTGAAAGGATTGCTACTGCACTCAACTGGCCCAAAGACATGTGGCCAGGACCAAACTCACAAGGTCTTCCCCACGACAGGAGCGTGAGTGCTTTTGTCACCGAAAAGGTCATGTAGTGGCTGATTGTTTGACACTGAAGCGCATGCATAAGCCACAGCCATCACAGCCAAAAGGTGTTGGTTTGATCAGCTCTAACCCCCCGTTATTGAACACTCTGAACCCTAAGTGCGCTGAGGTTGACTCCTGGTTTAGACCGTTTGTTTCAGACGGTTACGTTGCTATGACAGGGAGCGGTAGTGACCGGAGACCAGTGACCATTCTGAGAGACACAGGGGGTTCTCAGTCCATCATCAGAGCTGGTATACTTCCACTCTCAGATGAGACTTCATGTCATGCTAGCGCCGTTGTTCAGGGAGTAGGGATGAGTTTTATCCCAGCCCCTCTACACGATGTGTACTTATGGTCCGCATTGGTTAAAGGTCTTGTGAAAGTCGCTGTACTCCCTGCCCTGCCAATCAGGGGCATCGACTTCATATTGGGCAACGATTTAGCAGGCAGTAAAGTGGTCCCTGTTCCACAGTTGGTTGAGCGCACTGAGCAGAGTACTGAGCTTGAGTCCCCAAACGTATTTCCAGCATGCGCTGTGACCAGGTCCCAATCTAAGAACACTGTTGACCTGTCCGACAGTTTCATGGCTACTGAAGAGTTTTTCCAAGCGAAACCAGATGTCACATCAAGGACTCCAGCTGCTCTGGATGCGATCCCGCTACCAGCCACAAGAGCGGCGTTCATCACAGCCCAGAAAGGTGACTCATCACTTTCAAAATGTTTCTCTGTTGTTGAACAGGAAGGGAGCAGAGCCAACAAAGTGGGATACCTTATGGACGAGGGACTACTCATGCGCCGCTGGAGCAGCGATGTCACCGGCACGGGAGATGAAAAAGTTCTGTATCAACTTGTGGCGCCCAAAGTCTATCGTGCCCAGGTACTGTCCTTAGCCCATGACAATCCGTGGTCAGGACATATGGGTATTGCGAAAACCTACAATAGGCTGCTCAGACATTTCTTCTGGCCTGGACTAAAGTCTGATGTAGTTGACTACTGTCGCACATGTCATGTCTGCCAGATGACAGGGAAGCCAAATCAGGTGATTCCCCCTGCGCCGCTGTCCCCTATACCGGTAATGGGTGAGCCTTTTGAGAAGGTCATTATTGACTGTGTGGGACCACTGCCAAGAACTAAGACGGGAAATCAGTTTCTGCTTACAATTATGTGTGCATCCACCAGGTACCCCGAGGCGGTTGATCTGCGGAGGATCACGTCTCCGGTCATCGTCAGAGCTCTGGTAAAGTTCTTCTCAACATTTGGTCTACCGAAGGTCATCCAAAGTGACCAGGGAACCAACTTCAAGTCAAAGGTCTTTACACACGCTCTGCACACATTGGGCATCAAACAAGTGACTTCTAGTCCTTGTCACCCAGAGAGTCAAGGTGTGCTCGAAAGGTTCCACCAAACGATGAAGTCCATGTTGAGGAAGCACTGCTTTGAGTCACAAAGACACTGGGATGAAAGTGTGCCCCTTGTACTGTTCGCTGCGAGAGAAGCTGTACAGGAGTCGTTGGGGTTCAGCCCAGCCCAGCTAGTCTTTGGCCATGAGGTCCGAGGTCCTTTGAAAATCCTAAAAGAGCACCTCATTACACCTCAGAGGACTGTCAGAAACATCCCAGAGTATGTCACTACGCTGAGGGATCGTCTAAGGCAAGCTTGTGCCCTAGCTAAAGAGGCCTTGGCCTCCTCCCAGATCAAAATGAAGCAGCATTTTGACAGGAAGGCTGTTGTTCGCAGCTTCCAGCCTGGAGACAAGGTTCTGCTCCTCTTGCCAATACCTGGCTCATCATTGTCCACTAAATTCGCTGGCCCCTATGTTGTAGACCAGAAGCTGAGTGACACAAATTACGTCATTCACACACCGGACCGAAGGCGGCGCTCCAGGGTCTGCCATGTGAATATGTTGAAGCTCTACAGCACACGGGGTGAGCAGCAACCACCGGCCAGTGCCTGTGGCAACGAAAAGACATCTCCTGTTGCTGCTTATGTAGGGGTGAGTACGCAGTCAGAGGAGGGCCTGCTCATGAAAAGCGCTACACCCCAGGGGGCTAGGCTAAGCAACAGCCAAGTCCTGAGAAACTTGACCAGTTATTTGTCAGATCTCCCCAAAGACAAAAGTGATGACATCACTCAGGTCATACTGGACTTTCCAACGCTGTTCAGTGACACTCCCTCACAGACTACTGTTATCTCGCACGACATAGTCCTGACTAACCCAGCACCGATTAAGCAGCGCGCTTACAGGGTCAGTCCTGCTAAACGGGAGATACTGAAGAAAGAAGCAGAATATCTGCTCAACAATGGACTTGCTGTCCACAGTTCAAGTGCATGGAGTTCCCCCTGTCTCCTTGAGACAAAAGCTGATGGGAGCCCCAGGTTTTGTACAGACTTCCGAAAAGTCAATGCAGTGACAGTGCCCGATGCGCATCCCCTGCCATTGATTGACGACTGCATCGATGAGATTGGTCCTGCAGCCTTTGTGAGTAAACTCGACATGCTGAAGGGATATTGGCAGGTTCCGTTAACCCCCCATGCTTCTGAAATCTCAGCTTTTGTGACTCCAGACTACTTCCTCCAGTACACAGTCATGCCATTTGGTCTCTGCAACGCCCCGGCGACTTTTCAGAGGTTGGTAAACAAAGTGTTGGGAGGCGTACCCCATTGTAGAGTATATCTGGACGACATTGTGATTTACACCCCTGATTGGGAAACTCATGTGGCGACATTGAAGGTGGTTTTTGGGCGTCTGTCTGCTGCAAGTTTAACACTGAACCTTTCAAAATGTGAATTCGGACAGGGCACGGTGCAGTATCTGGGTCAGCAGGTTGGCAGTGGAAAGGTGTGCCCTGTGGAGGCCAAAATCGCTGCGATCGTTGCCTTCCCCACTCCAACGGCCCGAAGGGAGCTACATCGATTCCTTGGGATGGCTGGATACTATCGCAGGTTCTGTAAAAACTTCTCCACAGTTGCTGCCCCCCTGACTGCCCTCACCAGTCCTGCCAAGCCATTTGTATGGTCCGAGGAGTGTCAGAAGTCCTTTGAGAGCTTAAAGGCTATGATGTGTTGCACTCCTGTTTTGTCAGCTCCAGACTTTCAGCGGCCATTCAAGCTAGAGGTGGATGCCAGCATGGCGGGGGCAGGAGCAGTTCTCCTTCAAGAAGGTGATCAGGGCATCGATCATCCGGTGAGTTACTTTTCACGTAAGTTCAACAAGCATCAATTAAAGTACTCCACGATTGAAAAGGAAACTCTCGCTCTGCTATTGGCTGTGCAGCACTTTGAAATTTATATTGGTTCCCAGGCCACCCTCGTGTATACGGATCACAACCCTCTTACATTCCTCTCACGAATGTATAACCACAATCAACGCCTTATGCGATGGTCATTGATCCTGCAAAACTACAACCTGGTAATAAAGCACAAAAAAGGATCAGAGAACATAGTTGCTGATGCACTTTCTAGAGTCCCTTGATGTCCACTGGCCATATTCGAACCCTGCTCGAATTTATAAGGGTGGGGGTGTTACGTGCATCAGAGTTGTCTTTCCCTGTGTGCTGCTGTTCTCTCCCTTCTGCTTCTGTGTGAAGGTGCTGTGGGCGTGCCCTGGAGGAGGATGGTGCATGATTGGTGGAGTGGGGGCAAATTGGAGAGTATTTAAACGGGGAGTGTCTTGGGCGGCTCGCTCTCTCAGGTGCCAGAAGCTGCCAGGTGGTAGCCTAATTTGTTTCTGTGTGGAGGTTTGGTTAGGTGAGTTTGGTGCCAAGTTACGTTTACAACACGTAGATACTTTTGTTAGATTCCCTAGCTTATCAGTTGTGACCACCCTTGTTGTTTTGAGTTCTACTCCACTTTTCTTTAGATAAAACAGAATAGACATTTTTTATTTCATTTCTTTTATTAGACTAGCCTGTGAGTTAGGCCTCTTTTGTTATATTTTACTTTTGTTCTTTTGGCACAACTGGGCGACGCCACTCCTCCCACCACTGTTATTTCTTTTTAGTTTGGCTCTTAAGGAGTTTGGCAATGTCTTTATTTAAGTGACTCTGTGTTTCAATGATTGTTTCACATATCCCTGTTATGACTGGTGTGGGTCCTTAACTGGTCATAACAAGTATCAAAATGCAAAAGCACTGTAGGTCACAGCAGTAGAGGTGGAGAAGCCACTTGGTTTGGACCATTTTCTCTGCTCTAGTCCAAAGTGAGAGGCTGAATGCTTCATTAGCATTTTTCAAACAGTCAGCCCTCCTCCAATGGAAATTCGCCTTATCCGCTCGTTTGGGACCACGAATCCTCTCCGCTCCGGTCTGGACCAGTGCAAAACCATGAACACTGTACTGCAGCAACATCTCGGGTAAAAAAAAAAAGAGGGTACAAAAAATAAAAAATAAAACTAATAATGTGTATATACATTTGACATATCAGTATGCAGGACGCAGCCATCATTGGTTCCAAACTGAACTCCTTTTGTTCAGAAAAAGCTACCTAAAAATATTATCCAAACGTTAAATGAAAACAAATATTTTGACTAAATTACCTCCATATTGTAAAAAGTAAATGTAAAAAATAGTTTAAAAACAATGCAGACCTTTGTGTAAAATTATAGCCCCACGATGACAATGACACCCCTTCTATAGCGTAAAGAGCATTTTAAACACATATTGGGATACTTCTGGATCATATTGCATGTAATAGACCCTGTCTGGTAGAGTTCTTATTTACTCTCAGGTCATCGGTCAAATGTGCAAGTTAATGTGATTGCTGATAATTGTCAAGCCTGCAGTGATTAATAAAGCATGTTAGGTGTTATCCGCCTTATTTGCCCCCACTGGAATATTTCTTTTAATGACAACAGCTCCGTAGGACGTGCTCTTGGGGTAACCTGCCAACACATACTAATGAACCGCCATGAGGTCACTTTTACAACAATTCATCACTGCTGCACTTTACTCTGACATTCGGCCTGAATACTTTTTCTTGTTGAGACATTCTTTTAAAAGGTGCAATCTACAGTGCCTTTAAAATGTATTTTGCTATGCATTTGCTAAATATTTTGTCATGTTACAAAATCAAACAAAGATATTTCCTTGGAATTTTAAGTGAAAGACCGGCACAAGTATATTTACAGCTGTTCTGTGATGGCGGAAGAGAGTTGTTAAGAAGATATTGGTCACTAAACAGCCTCGGAAGTCCAAGGAACGCACCAAAGATGAAGTTGCGGAGAAATGTAAAGAATAGTTCTACAAAGCTATTGAACATCTGTTGTATATAACTTTATTGACTTCTTGTAAATGTTAGAGCACTGCGTGTGATCGATCACTGCTGCGATCCACTAACGTGTCACGTGGGAAAAACAGAAGAAGGACCCAACAATGCAGGGACATACAGGAGGACCGAAAGATTAGCGGAAGTCGCCTATATTTGGGCATTGTCTGGTCCTCCCGGTTCTGCGCAGTGGACGAGCTCCCATGATGCGCAGAGGGGCTCGGCCGCGCTTTGACCAATCAGAGCTGCTGATCATAGCAGCGGTAGAGCAGAGTTAGAGCGGGAAGGAAAGGAGCAGAGTTTGTGGCAGTAGAGTGTGGATTTAAAGAAAACGGAAGGATTTAAGAATAAAAAAAAGTTCAGGATGGCAAGGAACACTAAAATCCCCACAAAATCCGATCTTTATGAAAGCTTTAGATTCTCTGTCAGCTGAGGTCGAGCTGTTTTAGTTTACATTGAGTTCTATGGGACTTTTTTCTGGGTAGCCCTCGTAAATTTAGTCTGCAGTACCACGGGCGCCCCCTGTGCCCATGGGTGGGACAGCTGTAAGCTAGTAATACCATATCCAGTTATTATTATAGATCCATGGGCGGGACAGGCAATCAACTGAGCTGACGTGAAGTAACATTGAAACAAATCAATATTAAAACAAAACCAAGCTAAATGTAATCAAAGAGTCACTACACTAGAAGTATCAATCAGAGTAACACCAGGGGCCACAGTTACTGAATCGGTTAATAGTTACTAACCAAAATAACTCTGTAATGGTGTTACACTTAAACACTCTTACTGCCCCCACTGGTCAAGCACTACACAAATCTGGCCTTTAAGGAAGAGTCCCAAACAGAAAGTACAGAAAAAGGCCACAAAAGGCCAAGAGAGGGACAAGTGGAGAAGGTGCTAGGGCATGGATCTATTATATGTGCTAGGGTCAGATGAGACCAAATACAATTTTAAAAAGAACTAACACAACTTATAAATCTACTCACACCATCCCCATGGGTCAACCCTGGCACTGGCAGCATTGCTATGGAACTGGTTTTCCTAAGGGCAGGGAGGAGTATCAGAGTTAATAGAAAGATGGATGAAACAAAATACAGAGCAACCTTGTAAGAAAAAACACGGTGGTGGATGTTGGTGGACACTTTCCAAAAAACATAATGCCATTTCATACAATGTCATGATTAAAACTTGTTTTTGACGTACAGCTCAGTTTTGTATTGTGTTTTTGATATATATATATATATTTTAAATCAAGTCATGTCTTGTTGCACTTTCTGTTTCAAATAAAATGCAAATAGAATATCTTTATGTTGAAAACAATGAAACACAAGGCTAAAGCATGGTAAGATACATGCATTAACAGGAATACAGAATTGAATTAGTCACAAACTATATTCAAGCATATGGTAGTACTGTCAAAGTTGGGTTTCCTTTACTTTACATATTTAGTAATTACAATCTTTATTCTTTAGTAATTACAATGGCATGGAAATGTTGGTTTACTTTACAAATTTTGAATCATAGGCCATACTGTACATACACAGTCTATAAATGAACGTTTATATAATTGTATTCATAAAAATCAAATGCTAAAAATCAAATCATGCTTTGCAATGCATCTGTTACCCATGAGCAGAAGAAGACTTTTAAAAGGTTGTTTGTGGTTTGACCTTTTGAAAATTAAGTCAAATGGCTTCATGATATTTTCTGTAAACATGCAGCATTTTCAATACATGTAGAAACAACTTGATTTTAGTGGATATGTTTGTTTTTCTAATGGTATGCTTTATCGTCTAAATCTGACACATTGGTTCCCCTTACATCAAACCTTCCTCACAATCAGTCAGACAGATGTGATCCATCCATTGTATTGATTATCCAGGGCCAAGTTGCAGAGGCAGTTGCCAAACTTCACACACTCCTACAGCTCATAGGTGATTCAGATGCCCAAAAGCTGCAGAATATTTCTATAATTAAATACACATTGTAGAGACTTTAGAAAGTCAAGAGGTTGGTTGAGAAATCTAAACAAGCATTTACCAATGAAGTACTGTTTTAAAAATCATTGTTATAACTCATATGTCAACCCTAACCTCCTGTAGGTCTGAATAGGTCTGGATTATTGCCATGGAAATGAAGCTAATATACTGTATCTTGACTAAATGTATTCTCTGTCACCAGGGGAACCACAATATAAAAGTCTGCTATAAGTCAGTGGGTAGTGGGCACCAGATAGAGTGTGTGCCTACACTTCTAGGCAGCACTTTTAGTGCAATCCAAAATGTAGTAGTGTGAATGTTCAATAAATCTTACTATTGTATTCTGTAGCTGTCTTCCTTGCCTCAAAGAGACGCTCCGTCTCCACGGTGACAACACATTTACATCGTAGTCATGGACACCAGTTCTTCTCTCACCTCGCATGGGGCAATCTCTAGCAAATAAAACATGTATGTCTCAGACAACAAACACAACTGTTGTAAAGGTAAATGACTGCCTTTGGGAGTATAGTGATAATGTAGCTTTTCAAAAATGCTGATAATTCACTGTTCACTGTTATTGTTTTCAAAGAGAGTGTTCTTCAGCTCAACAATATGTACAGTTGTCAGTATGGCCTTTGTCTTATTTGAATATAGTTTCATACCTGTCTCTATAGCTGAGTCTGCATAATGGAAAAGTTTGCAGTTTGCAGACTGTTTTAGTATGAAGCCTTGGAATGTGTAGAACTAAAGTTTTTTTTTCTCTGAGATTCTAAAAAGAATTATGCGGCACTAATTAGCTGGTGAATGTGGTGAATGACCATACAGTAGTTATTGCAGCAAAATTATATGTAATTGTGCTTTTTGGTCTAAAATCAACCATTCTGTTTGTTAAAGCCTGTTGGGAAAATTGCAAAATTGTTTGTATACCTCCAGTGTTGCTAAAAAAACAACGGATTACACATTAGATTTTAGGGCTAAAAAAGAATAGTCTGCATAGTCTGTTTGTGCAAGTGGCGAGATTATTGTTATTTTGTTGGTCATTTGTATGAACTATATGCATCAAATGTTTTAACATCAGAGTTGAGCAATTGCAAGTTGAATGTCTTAATTCTGCTGTTTATTTATTCCATCTTATTTTTTATGATAACTATCTAGGATTTATCTACTTGATTTGTATTGTGTCAGGTGTTGTTTATATAGCTATTCTGTAGTTGTAAAGACAGCTGTATCAAAAGTTAAGGTAGTAGAATAACAACAGTCTTGGCATTGGATTGATTATTTTGTGTAAGTGTAGTTCATGATATAGTAGTAATGGCTTGTTGCTTTCAATACTTTGGGGGCTTCTAGACACACAGCATTCCATAATTATGTGCACATATTAATTCCTTGTTATGTTTTCTTTTTTTTAAATAACCAATCTTATTTATCTTATGTCATTGTGTTGCTCATAATGAAAATGTCTAAAGGGACTCCCATGGTTACAAGATCCAACCATGGATCCCTCATACAAGAGCGTCACCAAGGGGACACAATAAGAATAGCATACTCAATGTCAATAACATGGAATTCTTATAATAACAATGCCAGTTAAAAACCTAACTTTAATTTCAATACCATCCATCCATCCATTTTCTTCCTAACTTTAATTTCAATACGTTGTGCAAAAATGCTCCGTTTTGAAAATGAGTGTAAAGGATAGTGCACACGACGGGACATTCAGGGGAACTATAAAGCTGACACCATTTGCAGGACACGGAGGATTGAGAACAGCACACCCACGCTAACCAGCTGTGCGAGTAATGCTAGCACAACCGGTTTCTACAGACTGAGGCATTTTGTCATACTTTAATCTCAATTCTGTGAACATACAACCTTTTCGCACGCGGATTAAGACTAAAGACTATTTGAGGTTTTTTTAGGCCTACTAAAACGCAATGTACTCGAGACGTTGATAATGGAGAAAGGGTGAGTAAACGTCGAAGGCTAGCTGTTGCTTAGATCATCTCACCTCAAGTCAGATGCTCTTTATGTTACATGTCATCTGAAAGGGTGTTATGGCAGGAATGTCCGAGTTAAAATATAGATGTATAATAATACATAGGTTAGTTATTTAATATTGTAAAATATATTATGTACTATATTATCTTGGCATCGCACAACCACGACGAAGACAATTATTAGGAAGTAGGTAATGCGTTAGTCTAAATGTTTGTAAAAAATGAGCTCATACGTTATACATGTCTTGTATGCTGTCACTGATGTCGTGTATTTTCTTTATTTGCAGTTCGAGTGCTGTGTGACTTCATTTTGGACCTGTTATGGAGAAGCCTTGGAGATTCTGGGGTGCTGTGGAGCGCTTTACCCTCTCTCTGGTCTCATGGTCCTGGGGCGTGTGTCGCGTTTCTCTTCTGGCTCTCATCCTAACATTTCACATTTATGGGGGCTTTTTCCTCTTGGCTCTCATCCTAGTCTCTGTAGCTGCCATACTTTACAAATTCCAGGATGTGCTTCTCTACTTCCCAGATCAGCCCTCTTCTTCACGACTGTATGTGCCAATGCCAACAGGTATTCCACATGAGAATGTCTACATCCGTACCAAAGACGGAGTGAAACTGAACCTCATCTTGCTACGCTACACTGGAGGCGATCCAGCTACTGGAGTCACTACTGGTAATCAAAGCACCTCTTCTTCGCCAACTATACTTTATTTCCATGGCAACGCTGGCAATATTGGCCACAGAGTACCAAATGCCCTGCTTATGCTAGTCAATCTGAAGGCCAATGTAGTGCTGATGGATTACAGAGGGTATGGGAAGAGTGAGGGGGAACCAAGTGAAGATGGACTTTACCTGGATGCAGAGGCCACACTGGACTACGTTATGACTCGGCCAGATCTCGACAAAACTAAAGTAGTGCTGTTTGGCCGCTCACTGGGAGGTGCTGTGGCTGTGCGCTTGGCTTCTGCTAACCCACATCGCGTAGCTGCTGTTATTGTGGAGAACACCTTCCTGAGCATCCCTCACATGGCGTCTACACTCTTTACTTTCCTACCCATGCGACTATTGCCCTTGTGGTGTTACAGGAATCAGTTCCTGTCCTATCGATATGTCCTCCAATGCCGCATGCCCTCCCTGTTTGTGTCTGGGCTGTCTGACCAGCTCATCCCGCCTGTAATGATGAAACAGCTATATGAGTTGTCACCGGCACGGACTAAACGCTTGGCTATATTTCCAGAGGGCACTCACAACGACACATGGCAGTGTCAAGGCTATTTTGCAGCACTGGAGCAGTTCATGAAAGACTTGCTTAAAAATCATGCCAGTGAAGAGAGTGCTCAGCCTTCTGCAAGTGTAACTATTATTTAAAACTGTTGACCACAAAATGTGGAAACTCGATTTCACAAGAATGTAACTTTGTATGCATTCTTCTGCAAACATTATTTTATCTTACCTTTCTACATAAGTTTGTAATTGTCATAAAATATGTTTATAGCTGAATGACATTTCTTTGCCCTTTTTAATAGTGTCTATTGTTGCTGCTATGAATGCATGCAGCACTTTTTGATCTTTTAATAACACCATAGTAGATCTGACCTCTTAATTGCATTTTAACAATCTGACAGACATTATAATGATATAAAACAGAACAGGGAGAAACATTTGTATATTTTCTTTATAATGCATTTATTGGGTTTATTGGGTCTTATGTGTATCTAAACATAACTCATTTTCATTGTATGCCACGAGGCATGCGTGCAACTACTAGTACAGAAATGACTAGTCCCTGGAGTAATTAAGCTGTACACCGTAATGCCCTTAAGTCTCCTTATAAATACTGAATAGTCTGCTACTTCTTCTTTTGCATTACTTCAAAACATTTTGATTGTGGTCAGTGCAGAGATGGGTAGAGTTGACAAATACAGTATGTAGCCAGAGTACATCATTCTTCAATCCATTTAAAATATATGGTTCTTTTGAACATAAGAGTATGCGCTAAAGTAGAGAAATTTAATAAGTCACTTTAGTTTAATTTCAAACCTGTACCTGTTCAGTATATTACTCAAGTAGGTAACAATAGAGTGACTATTTGGACGTTTGTATAAATCATATTACTGGTTATGTTTTTGTAAAGATATACAGCGGCAAAACAAATCACAAAACTAAGTCATGGTTGAGGATTTTGTGTAGGAACAAATATGAAATGATTGTATAGTATAAAGCTGCCAATACGTGCAGTAGCGTAAACACTTCCTCAAGTTACTTCAAACTTAAAAGTACTAAAGGAGGAGTGACTATTAACTGACTACTACCCATCTCTGATTAAGGTGTCAGAGCCCATGTATATGTGGCTTGTCTGTGAAGGGCTTTTCATGAGCTAATAAACCTTTTGGAGCATGTATTCCAGGGTTGGAGCAGAGACTGACAAAAAAAAACTAATGTGCTTGTTTGACATGCCTCAACACAAAGCCATCTGGTTAGACATTTTCTCAGCCATATTTCTACATAAGTTTAGCAAAGGGACAATTTTTGTCTCTGCAGGTACTGGTGTTTGGGGAAGGCTAAAGTAACTACATCTGGTTACTTTAATCTTGGTGTTTTAAAAAAGGCAGCCCAACGTACTACAGAATAGTTCATGTGGGGCCGCTTAATGTGGGCAGCGTTGAGTTCAGTAAATTGTAGAAAACTAACTTGCAATGCAGAAGGTACACTGTCAATGTTGTATTACTAAATCCCCCACTTTCTTCATAATGTGTAAGAGTCACCAAAATGTATGTGCTTTTTGTTGTTGCATAGTCCAAATTCAGGGGATCTTTGTGATAAATTTGTAGTTATCAGATTTTTTTTTTATTCCAAAATATTGAAATGCTATTGTGTTAAAGTGAAAACATTACTTTAGGCCACAACATAGATGAATGTGTTGCTGAAAGTACCCAAGTGAATGTGTTTATAATGTAATGTTGCAGAAATGACTGGGACATACTTCTTCTGTTCACTGGTCTGAATGAGGCAGCACAGCCATTTTCCACATCCATTAATTACTCTATGTAAATGACATCGGAATGAATCATTGTTTTTTACTCATAAATTACAGATTTTTCCTGTGCTTTTTCCATTTTTCTATTTCAAAACGTGTTACTTTGTACGCACACTTTCACTTTCAAATGTCTGTACTGTAACATGCAATAAATTGGTAAATTAAAGTGATAGTCTGTAACTCTAAATGAATTACAAATTTTAGGAAATGTGTTAAATTCAGAATCGGAATCAGAATCATTTTTATTGCCACGTAAGTAACAGGAGGTCACAGACTTGGAAATTGCTTTGGCTAAATTGACCTCCTGGCCTTAAATGTTGATATAAAATAAGTCATTTTATTAATTCTAATATTACGGGCAAGTCCCGCCTTCCCTTCTCTTAGCTATAGTTCAGAATCCACGGTGCCGTCGAGGTTAACCAATCGAGTCATGCCAAGGGCTGTCAATCATCGGCGCTGATGCTCGCAGCTGCGCGCATGATCAGTTGTTTGTTTTCGCGGAGCCTCCGAATCAAGCCTCTATTATATGAAAACTGAACAAAGAATTCTGAACATCCGCGCTGAGTTACTCATTTATATACTGAACCTATATCCATAATTAGATCCTCTGCAGATGTGTCCTATAATGTGCAATTCATAATAATAGCACTTCCTGGTTTGCCGCGATCGCTTTTTTTGTGCATAACATTTTTTTCATTAAAACGTTCACAAATAATTCTGAAAACCTCTGTGCATGTGTATTAATAATGTATATGTATAATGTGTTCTCTGATTAACATTTCAAAGTGTTACGGAAACGTAGGTGTGTAGACCAATCAGAAAGGTTTTTTTCAAATCCAGTACCTCTGTCTCTCTTTCTGACAAACTCCAGACAAGCAGTTCATCTGTGTTTTTGCGTTGTCACTGCTACCTAATTTGTCATAATTTATAGTAACTTTTGTACATTATAGAAATAAAACATTCATATTTAATTTGTTTTTAAAATTATGAAAGTTTGTGCAACTTGGACCCTTGCTCTCTAAATAGTGAGACCAAGTGTGTCACAAAAAATGGCAATAATTTTAGATGAGGAAGCAAATAAAGGAAGCTGTTGTGGCTCAGCTCTGCACTGAAAAGGCTCCAACCAGAAACGAAAGTAAAGGAGACAAGAGGTTTTGGCAGAAGAGGTTTAAACAGGCAGCGGCGTAGAACATATGACATGGCTTCTTTCATGGCCTCAGAATACTGGGCCATGTTGTGACTGAGCATGGCGTCACGGGACAGTGTGAAGCAGGAGAGGCTGTCCTGGCCTGTGCTCCTGCTCACTCTGGCAGCTGTCACCTCCTCCTCACTCTCAGCTCTCTCGCTGTACCAGCTGGTGGCCCTCCGCACAGAGATGGAGGGGCTGAAGTCTGAGGTCTGCCACAGGAGAACAGAGCAACAGGAGCGTGGGCAAAGAGCGCAGGAAAAGTCCATGGTTGGTAGATGTCAATGCAAAATAATTTAATACTAATCGTTAAATTACAGTATGTAATATCACCTCAGCTTCCCAGAAGGTACAGTGATCACCAGCGATCAGAGCAACATAACTCAAACAGTTATGGGAGTATTTGGACAAAATGTGCGAGATGGCCCAGTGAACAAATAATTCAATTTTGGGTGTGCAAATTTCCCTGCTTCAATGACACTGTACCTTTAAGAACAGTTCGCCCCTCACTGACATGCGCACAGGAGTCCAGGTGGGCAGTCTGCTGTAGGAGGGCAACGAGTGAAGAGCGTGCTCTCTCTTAGCTTTCTCACATCGTGTTGTTGTGCGTTTAATGACTATGTGAGTATGTCCACACCATTATATTGTGTAGTCCTGTCTTTAGCTTGCATTGTGTACTTAGCAACATATGTTTGTAGTTCGTTTTCATCTCTTTGGAAACTTTCCTGCATGATCGCCATTAACCATGCGGTCCACTGCGGCCTTACGTCATGTAGCACACTTTAGCGCCCTCTGGTGGACATACTTTGTAATAACATCAAAACTGTATCCAGAGCCATTTCAAAGTGCAACAATGATAATTATTCATTTGATGTTGTGTTGTACGTTGTTGATAGTGTTTAATTTTATTCATATCAACATTGTTAATGTATATGCATGTTGTGGTGTACTTTGTAGGCTTTATAATAATTCCAATGTTACATTTGTGTGTTCACAGATAACCACACACACACACACACACACGCTCTTGTTTCACGCATCCATCCCAACCTGTTCAAGCTGCAATAAACCTTTCATCCTACTACTCTGGATCTGCTGCAGTCTTTCTTGCCGAAGACTTAGGCCGGACTTTTGGACCCCAGCATTCAAATACATTATAAACTTCTTACAAGTGGTCCTTCGAGCCGGATGTCCAAGAGCTGCGTCATGGCCACATCCAGAGACTTTTATGATGAGCAGCCACTACACAGTCCCCGTCCCAGCAGAGTGCGTCGCATTCCCGGACATCTGGAGGACTATGAGGTTGGCTTTTCATTCCAACGTCCACCACAAAGCCCCGAGAGCTGGTCAACTTCATCCTCTCATGATGATGATGAAGACAGGATTCAGCATTTGGCGTCAGCTTATCAGGCACTCGGTCGACAAATGAGGGAACTTCAGACGGAAATGAGCAACGTTCGGCTGACACAAAGCGCCCAACCTCCAAGCATAGATATGCCCAGGAACAGCAGTACAGCAGCATGCCACAGCTCCAGCCTCTTCAGTCATGGCATGCATCAGAACGTTCAGGGCATTCTTCCCCCATAGTACCTTTGTCACCCATAGCTCCTGTGCAGCATCCTCCCCCGACAGGGCAAGCTAGTGTTTCAGCACCAGTGGCAGCTCCTTTACTACCAGCAGTGCCTCCAAACTACACAGCAGGTATAGTCCAGGGAGCAGAGACCGGTGAGTACTGGCCACCGCCTCCTCCTCCAGTAGATCCCGCTCAAGCAGCTTTGTTGCCCCCTCTGTACGACACCTCACACAGAAGTGTAGTTGCACCGCATGTAGTTGCTCCTCAAGGCACGCCCTACAGCGCACCTCCTCCCTCACATCCATATAGTGCACCTGTCTATTATCCACATAGTAGACAGCAGTATGCGTATCCCAATGCATATACTCCAAACAGCACTCGTACGCCTACAGCACCTGTCAGCCAGCCATATTTAGCTCCTCCCCCTGTCAGTGCTAATGTCCCTAGCATGGTGGAAATGGCTATTGCCTCCTCATACGGCATCCCCAAGCCTAAGCTTTCTGCATTCAGTTCAGGGAAGGAGAGTGATTTTCTGTTACTCAAAAAAGGTTTAGACAGTGTGCTCAGCCCCCACAGCCATCTAACTGAGGATTACAAATACCAAGTCCTCTTGGATCATTTGAAATTCCCTGCCGCTTTGCAGATAGCAAAGAGATACATAAACAGCTCCACTCCTTACTCTAGTGCTATGTTAGCTCTTCAGCAGCGTTATGGTCAGCCTAGACAGCTAGTGCAGGCAGAGCTCCAATCCATCCTGACCGCACCCCCAGTTAAAGCAGGTGATTACCAGGGCATGGAGGATTTTTCTGCAGCTGTTAGCACACTGGTAGGCATGTTAAGTTCTATGCAGGGCCCATCATCATCTGAGTTGCAATGTGGTTCCCATGTTGACACACTGCTCACAAAACTACCCCCGTACTTAAGAGATTCCTTTGCTGAGTACTGTTTCAGCAGGGGTATTATTCAGAGTGGCAGTGACAGGACATACACGCTACCAGACCTAGCTGAGTGGCTAGAGAGGAAAGTGCAGACCCTACAGGTATCCCGTAGAATAGGGACACATTCATACGACACCAGTAGTGTAGAGAGGAGGGCAGTCAAAACACAGAAGCCCAAGTCTACAGCTGTATTGTTTGGCAGTAATGAATCAACTCAGCCCACAGTCACACGCCTAGCTTCCCCTAGTGCACAGCAAGCAAAGAAGAGGGATAGATTCAAACCATACTGTCCCTACTGCTGCAATCAGGAGCACTACCTCAACGGGTGTGATGACTTCACCAAGCTCTCAAATCCAGCCAGGGCAGCTTGGATAAAGGACAATAAGAAATGTTGGAGGTGTGGCCGAGGACATTCTCCAGCTAACTGCACATTAAAGAAGCCTTGTTCTACCTGCGGAGAACAACATCTTCCTGTGCTGCATGATGTGGCTCAGGCAGAGAGCATCCTGACTGTTAACACTACCTCAAGTATGGTATTCGTCGATCAAGCCAGTCACTCAGGCAGAGTGATGTTAAAAGTAGTGCCAGTCCGCATATACAATGGGAGTAAATATATGGACACACATGCAGTGTTGGATGACGGCTCTGAGCGCACTGTTATCCTGCCTGCTGCCGTTCAACAGCTTGATCTCCAACAACAGCCGGAAGTACTCTCTCTAAGGACAATAAGACAGGAAGTAGCCAAATTAAAGGTGCCACTGTGTCATTCCAAGTGTCATCCCCAACAAAGAATGGACTGAGATTCAAGGTTCACAACGCGTTTACAGCTGCAGAGTTGAATCTGGCTGAGCAATCCTGTTCCCCTGAGCATCTCCAGAGAGGCTACAGACATTTAAGGGACGTTCCGCTGTCGTCCTTTAATAAAATCCAACCACTGATTCTCATTGGATCAGACAACCCACATCTCATCATTCCAAAGAAACCTGTCATATCTGGCCCCATTGGTGGTCCTGTCGCTGTGTGCACAGCCCTGGGATGGGCAGTGCAGGGACCAGCCAGCTTCCTCCAACAATCTCCTCGTGACAGCAGCTGCCTGCACGTATCAGTTCTGTCCCCTGCAGAGGAGCTACATCAACAGGTGGAACGACTGTGGCAATTGGATTCACTGCCCTTTCGTTCCACCAAAGAGGTCACTCGCTCTGGAGAAGACAAAGCAGCACTAGAACAACTAGAGCAGCAGAGTGTTAGGGTCACAGTAGATGGTGTGAGTCGATATGCAGTCCCCCTCCTGCGAAAGAAAAATGCATCTCACCTATTGGCTTCACCTAATGCAGTCATGCCTCTCCTTAGAGCCACCGAGCGCCGCCTCACACATAATCCTGAACAATTGCTTATTTACAATGAAGAAATGGACAAACTAGTCAGATCAGGTTATGCAGTGAAAATCAGTCCAGAAGAAGTAAACAACTCAGACGAGTCATGGTTCCTGCCACACCACCTCGTTTTCCACAATAATAAATCCAGAGTTGTTTTTAACTGTTCTTTTGTGCATCAACAGGCCTGCCTTAATAAGAACCTCATGCCAGGCCCGACTCTCGGTTCTTCACTCCTTGCAGTGCTTCTGCGTTTCAGGGAATATACTGTGGCCATCAACGGTGATATTCGAGGCATGTTCCATCAAGTGAGGCTCCTCCCACAAGATCAACCACTGCTTCGTTTCCTGTGGAGAGATGGAGACAGAGAGCGCAGTCCTGATGTCTACGAGTGGCGTGTGTTACCCTTTGGTACGACATGCAGCCCATGTTGTGCTATATATGCACTACAGCGCCACGTCCAGGACTACAGTGAGGGTAATGAGGATATCGTTAATACAGTGCTGCAATCTATGTATGTGGACAACTGCCTGCAGTCCTTGCCCTCTCCAGAGCAGGCCAAACAGCTCATCGACAGGCTCAGAGCTCTCCTTGCCCAGGGAGGCTTTGACATGCGTCAGTGGTCCTCCAATGTACCTGATGTTGTCTCTCATCTGCCAGCTGAAGCAAAGTCTGCCACCTGTGAGTTATGGCTCAATGCTCATAAAGAGGACCCTCTCGAGTCTACTCTGGGCCTTCTGTGGAACTGCAGCACAGACGCACTCAGTTACAGACATAGAGCTATTCCTCTTGCTCAACCCACTCTGAGGTATGTGTACCGTGTGCTGGCCAGCCAATATGACCCACTCGGCTTTCTTATTCCCTACACAACCCGTGCTAAGGTGCTGGTTCAAGCGCTGTGGAAGAAAGGCCGAGACTGGGATGAGCCAATCACAGATGAGCTCCTTCCGGTGTGGCAGGCATGGGAGAGTGAACTACCTCAGCTGCAGCATGTGACAATACCCCGATGTTACCTCTCAAATGTCCCAGCTGATACGCCACTGGAGTTGCACATCTTCACAGACGCCTCAGAGAGAGCATATGGTGCAGTTGCATATTTGAGGGCAGAGCATGACTTTACAGGTGCATTGCAAGTGTCCTTTGTTCTGGCCAGGTCCCGAGTAGCCCCAAAGAAGCAGCTCTCCATCCCTCGATTGGAACTGTGCGCCGCTCTGGCTGGTGCTCAGTTAGCAAAGGTCATCCAAACAGAACTAACGCTGCCGTTGAAAACTACAACACTGTGGACAGATTCAACTACTGTCCTCCATTGGATCCAGTCAGAGTCACAGCAGTACAAAGTGTTTGTAGGGACTCGTGTTGCTGAAATTCAGGAGCTGGTGGGTGCGGACAATTGGCGCTATGTTCCAACCAATGACAATGCTGCTGATGATGCCACGCGTGGCAAACATCTTAGTGACTTGGCAAAACCCAGCCGCTGGACCTGTGGGCCTTGTTTCCTGTATCAGCCCCACAGGGAATGGCCAGTTAAGCCCGCTACGGTCTCTGTTCCACCAGAAGAGAGCCGAGACGTGACCTTTTGTGGTCTTGTGACGGCCACGCCCACAGCTCCAGACCCGACTCAATATAAATCCTGGTCTGAACTGGTCCAAGCGACATACCTGTCCCTACACGGGGCGGCTGCTCCTCCGATGACTGCCTCTGCCCGCATTGAGACTGAAGTTGCAGTTCTCAGACGAGCGCAGGAGGAGAGCTTCGCTGCAGAGGTCGCTGCTCTGCAGACAGGTAAGCCACTCAGTAATAACAGTCGTCTGCTTTCTCTTTGCCCAGAATATGACAGTGCGGTGGGCTTGGTGCGCGTTGGTGGTCGGTTGAGGAAGGTAGAAGGCTCTCCGGACATGATACATCCTATTGTCCTAGCGCCTGACCATCCTGCTACCCGGCTGCTGATACAACACTACGACACCGAGTTGCTGCACCCTGGTCCCGAACGTGTGTTCGCAGAAGTAAGGCGGACATATTGGATCCTCCGTGGGCGCCAAGCTGTAAAGAAGCACCAACACAGCTGTGCAGAGTGCCAAAGATGGCGCAACAAACCCACTGTACCACGTATGGCAGACCTTCCAGATGCACGCCTTCGCTTACATAAACCTCCTTATTGGTCCACAGGAATCGACTGTTTTGGACCATATGCTGTCAAAATAGGTCGCAGACAAGAGAAGAGGTGGGGCATAATTTTCAAATGTTTGACAACAAGATGTGTGCACCTTGACCTCTTGTGCAGTATGGACACAGACTCATTCCTACTTGCCTTACGACGTTTTGTGGCCAGACGAGGCAAGCCTTACGAGATCCTAAGCGACAGAGCCACTAACTTCCGGGGGGGCGACGGAGAACTGCAGAGAGCATTTGAGGTACTGGAGCCAGCCTTGAAAGAGCAGCTGGCTGAGCAGAGAATCACCTTCAAATACAATCCACCGTATGCACCGCATTTCGGAGGTATTTGGGAGAGGGAGATCAAATCTGTTAAAGCAGCCCTCCAAGTCGTTCTTAAAGACAGAGTGCTCCCTGAGGAGGTCTTGCTGACCGTCCTCATAGAAGTGGAAGGTATCCTCAACTCAAAACCGCTTGGATATGCCACTTCAGACATTGCAGACCCAGACCCCATTACTCCTAACCTTCTTTTGATGGGGCGGCGGGATGCCTCTCTGCCGCAAGCTATCTATGCCAGTAGTGACTTGATTGGACGCCGTCGTTGGAAACACAGCCAGGTGTTAGCCGATCATTTCTGGACCCAGTTCACAAGGAACTACCTGCCTAACCTCCACCAGAGGAGGAAATGGCAAACTCACACGCCGGACCTCACCACTGATCAGGTGGTCATGGTTGTGGATCAACAACTGCCAAGAGCACGTTGGCCCATTGGTCGGGTCACTAAGGTGATCCCAAGTGACGATGGTCGAATCCGCTCTGCCGATGTGGACATTAAAGGGACTACTTACACTAGGCCGGTAACCAAACTCATCTCGCTGCCCGAGATGCCAGAGGACTGATGCCAGACCGCAGGGACATTTGTGAATTCTTTTCAAAGTCGCTTCGGACTTTGGGGGCGGCTGTGCAAATTTCCCTGCTTCAATGACACTGTACCTTTAAGAACAGTTCGCCCCTCACTGACATGCGCACAGGAGTCCAGGTGGGCAGTCTGCTGTAGGAGGGCAACGAGTGAAGAGCGTGCTCTCTCTTAGCTTTCTCACATCGTGTTGTTGTGCGTTTAATGACTATGTGAGTATGTCCACACCATTATATTGTGTAGTCCTGTCTTTAGCTTGCATTGTGTACTTAGCAACATATGTTTGTAGTTCGTTTTCATCTCTTTGGAAACTTTCCTGCATGATCGCCATTAACCATGCGGTCCACTGCGGCCTTACGTCATGTAGCACACTTTAGCGCCCTCTGGTGGACATACTTTGTAATAACATCAAAACTGTATCCAGAGCCATTTCAAAGTGCAACAATGATAATTATTCATTTGATGTTGTGTTGTACGTTGTTGATAGTGTTTAATTTTATTCATATCAACATTGTTAATGTATATGCATGTTGTGGTGTACTTTGTAGGCTTTATAATAATTCCAATGTTACATTTGTGTGTTCACAGATAACCACACACACACACACACACACACGCTCTTGTTTCACGCATCCATCCCAACCTGTTCAAGCTGCAATAAACCTTTCATCCTACTACTCTGGATCTGCTGCAGTCTTTCTTGCCGAAGACTTAGGCCGGACTTTTGGACCCCAGCATTCAAATACATTATAAACTTTTTACATTGGGGGTGATCCGAATCACCGTCGACAGAGGATTTCTGTAGCTCTGACTAATTTCTTTCTACAAAAGAATAACCATTCTACCTCTCGCACTGTGACTGTGATATGAGCAGTGTATATCATTAAAATGTTCATAATGATATTCAAGATTGAGATTTCAAACTGTAAAATCCCATGATTTGTATTTATGATGTGACGATTGGCACAAGCATTGAAATCTCCATTTGGTTTCCTACCCCCCCAATAACATGCAATAAAATATATGTGTTTATTTGACATTATATTGCACAGTATGACATAAAACTGAGATAGCCCCTTGTATAATATTCAACAGTATAGTTTTAATGTTCTTATTTTTCCCATACCATCTTGAACGTGATGTGCCACCTATGTGCATATATTGTTTTCAGAATAATCAAGACGATTATTGTATTTTATTACAGATGTTTAGTATTATCTGTATTAAAATACTTCCTATCTTCAAAATAGCCAAATTATGTATATCAGTTCAACTTTATTACAGACTCTAGGTCCAATTTGACCTGGTATAGCTCTTATTTTAGTTATAATAGCTATTCAATATTTTGTGTTCTGTTCAGATGGACAATTTTTGTGCCAAGAGAAGCCGCCCGGATACGTGGCAACGGCCTGAGCACACTTCTACACTGATTAGAAAAAAAAGAGTGGCAACTAATAAAGAGTTATTAGGTAAGACTAAGGTAAAAACAGATTATTCTAGAATGTCATAAATGAAAAAAAAATAGGTTGTATTTCCATACAATGACCGTTCCAGAAAAGCCACTTCTCTTAATGTTTCATTTCATTTCAAGTAGCTCAGTCTTGTTTGCAGTTTTTGGCAAATAGCAGCAGGAAAATCTTCAAAAAAGGTACATATTATAAGTAGTTTTATTCTAGCCATGCATTCATGTGCAACCCTTGTATAATGAAATCACATTTAATGCAATTACATTGTGAAGCAGAATTTGACTTTGATGAGCACATTGCTATCCCTTGGCAAACGGGCCTGAAGCGAGGCTCTGCCCTGGAGGAGGACCAGGACAGAATACTGATCCAACAAGAGGGCTACTACTTTGTTTACAGCCAGGTTAGTAACACAAGAGGGTGCTACTGAGCTGTGAACCTCTGCTCAGCCAGAGTCGCATAAGAAATACATATATAAAACTTTGCTCTTCTGTTATTTGGAAATTATTTTGAGTTAATTTCTATCTGGATGTGAAAGGATTATAAATGGGTTATGTTTACCTTGAGACACAGGTCTACTACATGGACACCCAAGTCGCTATGGGCCACGTGGTCATCAGGTGGAAGGCCAATGTTGTGGGGAATGAAGCTCCTCATGTGGTTTTGTTCCGCTGCATCAAAAACATGAGACAAGAATACTCCTTTAATACCTGCTACACTGGAGGTGGGCACAGGTTCTTTGACCATCTCTGCTGATGTGTTTTTTCTATTATTATCTGGGAAAGTAAAAAAATAAACGCTTCTGTATTTGTTTAGGTATTGTCAAACTGGATATTGGGGACCACCTGGAGCTGCTGATTCCCAGAACCGAAGCCAACATTTCTTTGGATGGAGAAGGCACCTTTATGGGTGCTCTCAAACTAGCGTGATTTTGCTTAATGCAATTTTTTATTAATAATAATAATAATAATCAATTTCAAACTAGTTATCACCTCATGATTACCATGTTTTATACATAATTATGTCTAAATTATCCACATAAAATAGATGTACCTCTGTGCAGGAGTTGACGTCATCTGGCATCGTGGATTGGTTGGTTTTTCAATTGATACCACTAGAGGGGGCTTCAGAGCTGTAGCTGAGGCTGTGGTTATTAATGCTTTGTGCGTGGTAACTTCATGAGAGGAGCTTCTGAATGAAGAGGGACAGCCTGAGGACATTGGAGCACCTGAGAACAGCAGCAGCAAGTAGCATTGTAGTGAGAAGGCACAAGAGAGAATCAGTGCCCATGCCGTTCTCCAAATATAATAATGTCAAGAGTAAACATGTATGCACAAAAGACACAGTTGTTTTGTGTAATCCCAAGATATATCACACATTTTAAATGTTACTTCATGTTCTTTATTGAAACAGTCATATGAAACTATTATTAATAAGGCAAGTGAGGTAAAGAAAGATTTGTTATTCTATTTATAGACTAAATCAGGATTACCTCCTATTTCTCCTTGGAATGGAAATATCTGACCTTGAGGCCAATCAAAATGCTGATTATTCCTTGTATTTGTTATTGTATTTAATATAATAAATAAGCATTATCCCAGAGGCATAAACTATGGTTCATGTAAAATACAAAAAAGATTGCAATGTATTGTAATTTGCCATTGACATTGTGGCATTCACTTTGTCCTGAGTGAATGGATCAGCCAGACACACTTGTGTTAGGTGGAGCACGCTTGGACAAAAGCTGGTGGGTGGTCATTCCTTTGGGGACTGTTTAGTTCAAAGAATCAATGCTCCATTTGACAAGAAGTGTGACACACAGAGAGACAGAGCGCAAATGAAAGAGAAGGGAACAGCTCTGAAGTAGATGCCTGAGGTGGGACATTTTGCTGTAATGCCGAACTATGACAGAAGCAAAAGTGCAGCGGTGGAAATAGTGGAAAATATAGGGTGCACCAGTCACCAGGGTCAGCGCAGCTCTTTGATGCTCTGGTAAACAGCGCGAGCGGCTGTTCAAACACCAATCGGAGCAGCAGAGGGAGGCTAGACGTTGGAGAGGACGCAGAGCACCGGTCTCACCGTAATGGGTAAATGTGATAGGCGTGTGATGGTCCCCCTCCTTCTGCTCGGCCAGAGATGTCTTTGTGCGGTGCCATGGCGACGGGTGGTGTGTTGGCGGAAGCTGATGTCATTGTGGGCTCGACTCTGAAGACAAACCAAGAAGCAGGAAATGAGACCTGCTGTGTACACACGCTGGCAGTGTTTAGGGCCTGGGCTCACAGCTCACAATCTGCCTGAGCACGGGGGCATCAGGCAGATTGTCGTCTGCCTGAGCAAAACACAAGTTAAACAAAATAGTGAATCTATTATTTGTTTTCATACATATTTTTACATATAAATAATAGTCTTGAAGAAGCAGGAGCACTATTACATCTCGAGAGTTTTCCTCCTGCTTGCCTAGGGAATATTCCACTATGAAATGAAATGAACAGATTGCATTTGAAAGATCCTGAAATACAGGAGCAGTGGTCACTGTAGTACAGCACCCGGGGAGGGGAAGGTCCTGGGTTCAAATCCTGGTCAGAATAAGGTCTTTCTGAGTGGAGTTTCCATGCTCTCCCCGTGCCTGTGTAGGTTTCCTCTGGATGCTCCACCACTTTGCCCTACCACTACAAACATGTGCACTAGGTACAATCCTCCAGCTCCGGTCCTGACCAAGCTGAGCATCAACATCTGGAGATGGGTTCCTGGGCGCGTACAACGGCGACCACTGCTCCTGACGTAAGCCTTAGCGGCATCAGGATGGGTAAGATGCAGAGGATGAATTGCCCTACGGGATAAATAAAGTGCACCTTTACCTTTAACCCTTTTTATCTTGTATTGTGTTTACTCAGTGCAACCAGAGACTGACCTCAGTTCAAGAATTACAGATTCAGTTGTACCCAAGCAGAAGTGTTGGTTTTGTGGCCACATTTTGGAGATTACAAATTGTATGGTAAAAAAAAAAAAAACACTAAACACCGAATTGTTTTGTAGTTGCGTGAAGCCATTTACTGCTGATATAAACGTTTCTACTTTTAAATGATATGACAACAGAAACTACTCTTCTGACTCTGATTAAACATCTGTCTAACATCTATGACAGCTTGAAGTCTCTTGTGGTTGTTGTCTGATGGTAAAGCTGCCCTTTCTTCACATTTGAGCTCTCCACAGATCAGCCCAATGGTGTTATATTTTGAAAAAAGAAATCCCATTTTTATTTGACGGCTTGACACACCGACCTACAATGAGTGGAATGTTTTTGTTTTATCATTTGTAATCTCTTAAATAAGGCCAAAACATTTTAATTTATATCTATTGCTGTGTGTAAACTAAAACTAAGCTAACAGGCAAAATTTCATTTCACTATACAATTGTTTGTGATTCATTTGCATTTTGTTGTCATTGATTTTTTTAAAGCAGAATGTGCGTCTCATCTTGTTGTCAGCGTCGCATCTGTGCCTCCACTTTGTCTGTCCTGGAGCTCTGGGACAGGTCTGAGTGATGACTCGGGTTAAAGGTGATCCACAAAGTCAGCAGGCCTTAATGTGCATTCACTTGTGACAGCTTGCAGTTGTATCATCAGCAAAATCATCACCTATGTTATCAGATAAGTTGTAAATACTAGGGCTGTAGACGACCAAAGAAAGTCTTGGTTTGACAAAGCCCAAAACCTGTCGATTAATAACCCTAACCTAAAAAGGGGGTGTGGGAAAGGCTTAAAACTTCACATATTTGACCCAAACAGAACTCACCAAATCTTAACTATTTGGGCATGCATTCCTTCAAATATTTAGCTATAAACAAAAATATTAACACATGAATTGAGAGTTTGATAAGAGCTGAATATCAAAGAGAAGACCAAAATCTGAAGGTATTTTTCTCCATTTTGTCTAATGTTTGCTTTTTTTTTTTAAGTGATAGTCTGTAACTCTAAATTAATTACAAATGTTAGGAAATGTGTAAAATTGACCTCCTGGCCTTAAATCATTTTATTAATTCTAATATTACTGGCAAGTCCCACCTTCCCTTCTCTTAGCTATTGACCAGATGCATCAACGTCATAAAGCCACGTGATTGTGAATGAGCTTACGGCGGAAGTATTGGAAACTAGCATTGCTGCGAGAGCAAAACTGACTACAACTCTTAAAAACGGAGCTTCCTCTCTTAAATCGAGAAGTGGCTGCTTCAAGCACATGTTCGATTACGTCAGGTCAGGACTCACAAAGAGTGGTATTTGGAGGAGTTAAGGATTGCCTAACTGGATGTTGACCCGTACCTTCTCCCCCCAGTCAATTTTATCGATTAAATAAAATGTCTATTTTTGCCCAAATTCACCCTACATGATCTTTATCATTATGTCGTTAACGATGCATCCCCTTACACTGGAGCAGATTTATATGTACATTTTGCTGGTAGCATTAGCAATAGTTCACTTTTCTGTGGCTTTTCTGTCTACAGCCAAACATGATACGTACTGACGGAGAGGAAAATAGTGAAACACGCAATTGACTTAAAAGATAAAAATGTCAATGTTGCAGCGCACATACAGGACAGTAGTAAGAGACACGTTTGACGTGTGTCATTGTCCTCCAAATTAATGGAAATAAAATAATTACAAACTTGTGATTGCTTTATCTTATAAAAAGTGTTCACTGCATATTAGGGAGTACTTGGATGGGTCCCAGTCCTTTTGGTTGATTGCCGCTGGCCATCGTCGTCTTCTGTCTTCATGACGAGCAGGTATCAGATAAAAAAAGCTTATGTCCTTGCCTGTTAGTATAATCAACCGCACTGCAAACTGTCACAGTTTTGGCTGTAATGCGCTGAAACAGGTTGTTTTGGCCAGGTGTCCGTAGGCTCGCAGTTAGACTTCTGCCGTCTGTCATGGAGAGTGGGCGTGGCCGGGACGTCACATGCAAGGGGTCAATAGCTCAGAATCCACGATGCCGTCCACGTTAACCAATCGAGTCATGCCAAGGGCTGTCAATCATCGGCGCTGATGCTCGTACAGTAGCTGCGCGCATGCTCAGTTGTTTGTTTTCACGGAGCCTCCGAATCAAGCCTTTATAGGCTCTGGAACTACATAAAAACTGAACAAAGAATTCTGAACATCCGCGCTGAGTTACCTATTTATATACTGAACCTATATCCATAATCAGATCCTCTGCAGATGTGTCCTATAATATGATAATAGCTTCTTCCGGGTTTACCGCGATCGTTTTTTGTGCATTAAAACATATTTTTTTTCATGAAAACGTTAACAGATAATTCTGAAAACCTCTGTGCATGTGTATTAATAATGTATATGTATAATATGTTCTCTGATTAACATTTCAAAGTGTTACGGAAACGTAGGTGTAGACCAATCAGAAAGGAAGGGGGAGGGAGCTTGCGTCGTTTTTTTCAAATCAAGTACCTCTCTGTCTCTCTTTCTGACAAACTCCAGACAATCACTTTAAAGGACAACTCACCCTCAAATCCACTTTTTTTTGCTGATAAACGGTATAAATGAGTGTCCAATAGTGTTGTCTACATATCCTGGTCATAATCTTGTCACTTTGGTGCAAATTAGTTGAAAGTTAGACTTTCTGCCTAAAACCGTCTGTGAGGCGCCATCTGCTGGCGACCTGTATAACTACATTTGAATTTTGAATCTGGCGCCAACACTGGCACAGAAGTTGGACCTGACGTCTGCAAGTTGGACCTGACGTCAGCAGCCCCCCGCCCAGAGCAATGTAAACGGCCCAGTCTCGTTCACGCCCCCTTCAGTCCTCCAGGCCAGTGTTTTTCAACCTTTTTTGAGCCAAGGAACACTTTTTTCACTGAAAAAATCTTGCGGCACACCTCCAGGAGAAAATGTAAAAATGTATACAGTACTAATGTAAAAAAATATATACTGTACATACTCTGTGTGATATATAAAGTTTATCTTATCTTATAATATATACAGTATACTCTGTAGCCTATATTCACAATATACAGTTATTCTCATCAAAATGCTTAAGTCCAGGCCTTGACATTAAGCTTTATTTAATATTTCTCGATACAATTAACAAGAGTTTGGGAATAAAGTGGCACTAACTGTGTGGAAAAAAACTAAGAAAATCCACTCTCTGCCCAAATAGTCAAATAATAACTCACACAAAGAACATGCATTGTTAGTGCATGGGAAAAATTTAGGTATCCGAGCTTTAAATTCAGGAGTTTTGGATGAGGGACACGGGAGGTCCTGAACGCGAGTCCATGGTTCTGTCCGGTCCGCATGTCTGTGGTTCTGTCCACTCGACTATGGTCTGCGCTCGGTACCCAGTTCAGAAGTGCGTTCGCGAGAGCTGTTGTACAAAAATTGTACATTTCATAGTTAAACCACTACAACGCGGCCACAGCTGCCCCGGGGCAGAGCGGAGGATGTTAATCCTGTTCAGAAACGGCATAATTCATTTTCAAAAACGTCTCTATCACTTTCACTTCTCACTCGCCACAAAGCTCTTGTCTCGCTCCCTCCCACATTTGTTGGTCGCATCCAATTTTACCTTTCTCGCCACAATGCTGACCTGTTACAGCCAGTGGTCGCATCCAATTTTTCAGTTTCAAAGTACTTAGCTATCTGCTGCCATCTACTGATTTGAAAAAGTATTACATGGTTACTCCACAGTTCAAAACAAGTCACCGCTCGTCAACAGCGAATGCAGTTATTTTTAGACAAAGTAGACGAATTTCTCACGGCACACCAGACAATATCATACGGCACACTAGTGTGCCGCGGCACAGTGGTTGAAAAACACTGCTCCAGGCTACGCCCATTTAGAGGAAGATTTGAACAGGAAATGTGAGTAACGTAAGCTCCGAGGAGCGGGGGTGAGAACCACTTTAACATACAATTTTGTAATTGAACAGTTACAAAATGAGTCGACTAACAAAAACTGTGGTCGATTGTAAAACATTGACTAAACAACTTAATAGCCGCAGCCTGAGTAAATGCTGAATATGTTTCATTTAACTTTCAGATGATATTCTATTTATGTTCTGTTCATCCTTCTTGAGTGCATGTGGAGTGAATAAATGTCAACAAGAGCACATTATGTCCTTTGCCCTTGTCAAATTTTGGCAGTTTTTCTCCATCATTTGTACTTTGTCGTATTTAAGGATTACTTTGATCTGTTGCAGTCAGCCCAGAGTAATCAGGCTGATCCCAGGCCCTGCAGCCGAACTGGCAGCCACTACTACATGGATTTCTCATTTAGGCAAGGATTTGGTTTATCAACAAACTGGATTTTGCCCATCCGGGCCTCCAAATTCCCAACACTGTTCTGTGCGCTTCGTAATTTGTAAATCTCCTCAGCTCAATAAGACACTAATTGCTGTTGATCTGGAAAATGTGATAGTGTGAAGTCTGTGGCAGGATAGGGGCCATTTATTCATAAGAGTGTAACAGTTTGATGTGGTTTAAATTAATTTAGTCTTAAAAGGCCACTGCACTGGGAAGAAGTATTTAGGCTTATGAGCATTATTTCAAGGTCCTGGGCTGGGTGTTGTGCACATGATGGATGAGACGCACAGACAGACATGTTGTGGATTACCACAACCAAACCCCCCACACATGCTAATGGTGCTTTCCAAAAGGGACTCTACTATTCAGAACTGGTTTGTTAAAAAAGTCTTCCTTTCATATTTTGTCTATGCTGCACTCCGCAACCTCTTCGTGTACACTTGTAAAACTAGTTACATGACAAATCACAACCACAACTAGTGGTAGTATTGCTTGTTGTCAAATAATTTAGTAATTGACCAATGATTTTTTGAACATAATGTAGACATAAACTTGCTGAGAAGGGGTTTTATGTCTTGTTTCATCTATATGAAGATGTTCTCCAAGGGCATCACCAGAGCTTTGTTTTTGGTGAAATGTATTAGAAATCCCATATTCACTAAGCTTTGAGGATCTAAAACAATAATTAATAATCAATACAACTATACTGTGTTCAAAGTGTATTGATGAAAGGTGTCTTCATGATTCAAATTAGGGCTGGGCGATATGGCAAAAAAGTAAAATCTCGATTTTATATCCTGCTTTGGATGATTTCGATTTTAAAATCGATTTATTAAAGTCACAGAAGACAGACTTTGCCCTTAATTTTTTTTTATCTTTCCGCGCAATATTAAAGTTTCAAAACTATTTAAAATTTGTTTCCCCCAATACTTATTATAAAAGTCTTGTACAGACTGTGCTGATATTGCAATTATAATTCATGTACTGCTGGAACTCTCACAATATCCTTCATTCAATTTTACAATTTTCACATTTTTCAAAAATTCGATTTTTTCAAAAGCCGATTAATTACTTAAATTCGATTTATTGCCCAGCCCTAATTCAAATGTGTAAAATGATTCAATTAATTCATAAATTAAAGTTCCTGTATCACCAGAAGGAACTCCCCCAATAGTACATGGCTTCGTAGGACTTATGTAAAATATGTTTAGCCAATAGTTGATCATGTGTCAGTGGATCAGCAAATGTTAAAGAAAATATGATCTGTACATATGTGAATTAAAATAATAACAATGATACATAGCAACAAGTATGTGTGAATGGTTTACACATTTGGAATACGAACAGCATGGTCTAAACGTAAACCCACATAAAAGATGTTAAGTTGAGAAGTGTCCTTTGCCAGATGCATCTGCTCCACACAGCTTTTATCTGGTTTTCATTCTGTGGTTTTAGTTTCAGTCCATTGTCCATGTGCCCCCTCCTTCCTACACACACTTCAAACCAGGCTCCACTGCACCACTCACCAGCTGCTCACGGGCTTGCTCCGTAATTAGAGATTTCAACTTTTTTTATTCCAAACAACTACTTAATCTCATTCTATCTATCCTTTGGCTGCCGGTCTCAGCTCCCCACATCCACTTGTGTTGGCACGCTCCTCTGCCTCTCGCCCCTCCCTGTTTGATGGATGTCAGAGGAGGACTTTGGCCTATGGGTGTAGGAGTAGCAGGGGCTCTCTATCTCGCTTTCTCACTCAGTCGATGTTTAGTTTTTTACAGTTGAGACTTGGATGACTGTGGATGGTACTTACAGCTGCAAAAACTGAACAAAATAAAGGAAAATGGCACTGTAAGGTAAGAGACAATGAGACTTGTTTTCTTACAGTTAGTATTTTTTTTTTTTTTAATAGTGAAAATATTTTAATATCATTAATGGGGTAATTCAGATCCAAGACAAAGATGGGAGATGTAAAACACCTCCTAAAAATACTCCAGCATGTGGAAGTGGTGATTTTGATATCCTTGCAGCTTTTAGTGTTCTCCACATACAGCGGTCTCCATGGAGAAGTGGCTGTTTTGTCTGAATATTGGGCTGTACGGCATTGGACTTTTTCAGTTCAGATATTACGACAAAAAACAGTTACAGATCTTTAGAGATACCTTTGTATTTCAATCAAATCTCGAAAGACACTTGTAGACCACACAGACCTCTAGCTACAGGCGCAGTTCCACTCCTTTAAAAAATCCTGATACGGATCATATCCAAAATGTAACCTTGTTGACTGGGCTCTTTTTCCCATCACTTTTTGAGTTATGTTGCTCACACACAAACAGACCAACACTGGTGAAAATTTAACGTCTTGGGCAATGGTAAATATAACAACCAGCAATTGAATACATGAAATATGGATAAATTATACATACAAGATTAAAAAAGATAAAAAGCCTACAAGTCTTTCCACTGCACCTTTTGGTGAATATGAGATGCTACATTAGAGCAAGCTGGCTGATCTGCAGTAAAGCCGCTGGTGAACTTTTCAGTTGGGAATTTCACTTTCAAACAATCTTCAGGGACCTAGTGCTGGCGGTTCTGCAGCAAAAACTGTAAATGAACGTGATAGGGAAAGTGTGCAAGAAAGAGAAAGTTTCATTGCAGAACCTGGCACAGAAGCGACAAGATGAACAGATGTAAGTCTGTGTAGATGTCTTTTATGCTTGTTTTGGTGGAGCAGTCGACAGGAGCAACTTTAGTGGCAGCCTACAAATTCTGCTATTGTTTGGGCTGAGTGCACAGATGGGCTTATTCAGAGTTGGCAGCCTGTATGTAGTGTGTGAGACTGTTCTTGGACTTTGTTGGACACTTGGGTTAAAGTGAAGGTATGCTGTGTTGTGTCAAATCCCTCAATCAATAGTTTTTAATGATTGCGCTTAAACAACCATGTTGTGTGTTAAATGATGCTGCTGTACCTGTGTTCTTGTCCAGACACACTGTTGTTCGCCAGGTATGGTTTACGCCTGAGGTCACCTGCCACATTTTAGAAGAATCTGCAATACAAGTATGCAAACATTTGCAAGCATCAATGAAGCTCTACTACAATGTTTATAAAATGTGATGCTAAGTTTGATAAATGTGTAAGTTTGATGCTTTAAGACTTGTTGTTTCATGTCAGCCTTCATGTTTTATGACTCATCCTAGCCTAGAGTCTATATATAACCTTGTACCAGACTCAGAGCATCACCATATCCAAAACAAAGGGCCATGTACATAAAAGAAGGCAATATTTCTGGCTTGTTTTGTTAGGGGTCAGGTGTTTAAAAGGGTTTTGTTCCATCTCTCTTTTATCTTGATAAGTTAAAAGTATTCTACAAATGTATAAAATTTTACAATTTTGTTGACTTAGAAGATGCTAAAGAGAAGAAGAAGAGAGCATTAAACACATATTCAAATATTGTGGTGTGTCAGGTCCGATTTTCTGATCCTTTATATACCATTTAGGAGAGGCAAGTTTAACTGAAACAATCATACAAGGCATTGAAATCATATACTGTATAATCACAGTGCATTAACATGAGTGAAGATCCTTCAGTTGTATGCAAAGCTCAACAAAACTGTTTTAACCTGGATTCAAACCTTGTCAGAGTATGGAGGACCAAAAATGACTAAAGTATAAATAAATAAATAAATACAGGAATATATTAATAAATACATTCATTTTGGACAATAAAAACTAAATATTTACATGGATATGCTAAATATTACTCTGAAATCAAATAAATATACTTTTATTTAGGTTATTTATCAATATCTAAATTTTTTCCTTTATTAATGTATCCATTTATTGCATATATTTATTTATGTATTTCTACATTTCTTCATTTATTTATTTATGTATTTCTGTGTCGCTACATTTCTTCATTTATTTATTTATGTATTTCTACATTTCTTCATTTATTTATTTATGTATTTCTACATTTCTTCATTTATTTATTTATGTATTTCTGTGTCGCTACATTTCTTCATTTATTTATTTGTGTATTTCTACATTTCTTCATTTATTTATTTATGTATTTTTGTGTTCCTGTATGCTAATTAGGTGGGCGGTGCTGAACTCAATCTAGAACAGGATTGGTTAGGATTGCGTGAACTCTGGTCTCGATCATTCCTGCCTCACATTACGGTACTCTGTTAGCTAGCTAGAGATCCTCCGTGCACTTTTGTGTGGTATGATGGCAGTTTCGAATGTACGTTTTTTAGGAGCCATTGCTCATCAATTAAGAGCATTAGCAAATTATGTTCATGATGTTGAGCATAATGCACCTGAGGACTATCTACTCTTTCAGCTGGAAAGACTATTAGATGTTTTAGTTCATCACAGTGCTGACCCAGAGGTAGACTTTGATGCAACTGTGCTGGACGCTCTTCAACAAGCTATACAGCAGCTTCACATCCTCTCACAAACCGAGAAGGCTAACTTTGGCCGTAAATCCTATTTTTTACCTCCATGTATGATTGAAGCTCACCTTCTTTTGGGTCACACCGTTGGTGACATTGCTCAGTTGTTTGGAGTGTGCGAAAGAACAATTCATCGGAGGATGTCACAGTATGGAATAAGGTAATGTATACCTTTCTCGTGTGCAGGGCCGGAGTGGGACAACATTTCAGGCCGGGAGCTTTTCATCCATTCAGGCCAAACAAGGTTCTAAATTTGGGTTTTTGTCATTGTATTTTGATGTTCTTTTAATAGTTTTAAGATTGACTGTCAAAACTTTTGTTTTCTTTATTTTTTTTTTATATTGACTGTTTATATAATCTCGGACGTTTAAGGATTGTTGTACGTTGCTTAGCAACGTAACGTTTATGGAGTTTAGTGAGAATAAAGACACACACACACACAATGAACTAAGTGTTCATTAGTGTATAACTATAACAAGCTAATCAATTATTGTTAAAAAAGTAGTAAGGTAAAATCACATCGTTACAGCTCATATAAAAGGAAAAATAAAAACGTGTATGAACCATCAGTTGGAGAGACCACTCATTTCAACCGGGGAAGCTACACTGGGTGCACTGCTAGGCTGGCCTGGCTGTGTAGCCGACGTGTGACGTCACATTTGTTTAATTTTGCTCTGGCCCAATGACAGTAAAGCTTTGGCCAGTGTTGTGCCAGTTCACAGCTTTTCTGAACTAGTTCAAGTTCAGTTCATACATGCTCAAAGTGAACAGTTCACGTTCTAAGTTCTCAATTTTAATTCTGAACTAGTTCAAAGTTCAGTTCATTTTACTTTTTGCGAGATATTCAAATAAATATTTTTTTCACTACGAGCTAGAAATCACAATACGTGGTATATATATATATATATATATATATATATATATATATATATATATATATATATATATAATTATATATTATATCCTGTACACTGCACAGGATGTTTTGACTCCAATGCAGACAAGATTTACATGGGTTTCAATGGGAACTGAGTTGTCCCATCTCTGCTCATAAGTACAAACTGTAATGCGCTGCAGAACGTGTGTCTATACTTTATGTCAAATGTAAACGGCCCTGTGTCACTGACTTACCCCTGTGTTTTCATCACGGCACATGTGAGTCCAACAACCAATGAATAGCACTAGCATATAGCGCCGCACCGCAAGTAGTACACTGAGTCGGGGTGCGTTCACAGACGGTGGAAACCGTAGGAATGTTTAGTTTAGAATACAGGAGGGAGGAACTTTCTCTCGTTGCGTTTCAAAAGAGAAAACAGATTTCACTCAGTTTTAAATGGAAAACAAATTGTCTGCCGTTCATGACACATAATATGAACTAATTCACGTTCAAGTTCTTTATTAAAAAATGTGTTGCGTTCAGTTCAACGTTCACGAAAAAATGAGCGTGTTCAATGAACGCGTTCTTTTGAACGCGTTCACGCACAACACTGGCTTTGGCCTGGGCCTTGCTCATTGGACCAGGCCACCAGGCAGGGTAGGAGTTTGCAAAGACCGTGAGGATGAAATTAAATTAAAAGAAAAAAAAAAGACCGTGATGATAGGGCAGGCCCAGGCCACTTTGACACGCAGGCCACCGGGAGATCTCCCGACGCTCCCGATGGCCAGTCCGGGCCAGCTCGTGTGTGTATTTCTATTATATTCATACGTTTGCAAAGTGATGAACGTAGGAGCGTTTTATCATCTTATACATTAATTTCATACACTTAAGTATATGACATATCCACAACCTATCGTTGAAGTCAAAAACTTTAGGCTGTAATGTTCAGGCCCGCATCACTGTCAGTTTAATTCTCAATATCAGTCATGTGATGTGATCTCAAAGTTTTTTTTTTATTGTTTTGTTTTGTTTTCCCCCTCCTGGAACCGCCACCTTAACGTGGAGCCTGAATGATCCTGGAGCTCTGTTGTCGGGGGCTTGGTGCCCCTGGTAGGGTCTCCCATGGCAAACAGGTCCTAGGTGACGGGTCAGACAAAGAGCGGTTCAGAAGCCCCTTATGAGAGACCAACAGGCCTGGTTAGAACCATGAGGCCGTCCTTCTGTGGACCCACCTGACCTACTGCCCACCAATCCTGCTATTGATTGAGTTCAGCACCGCCCGCCTAATTAGCATACGGCAACACAGAAATACATAAATAAATAAATGAAGAAATGTAGAAATACATAAATAAATAAATGAAGAAATGTAGAAATACATAAATAAATAAATGAAGAAATGTAGCGACACAGAAATACATAAATAAATAGATGAAGAAATGTAGAAATACATAAATAAATAAATGAAGAAATGTAGAAATACATAAATAAATATATGCAATAAATGGATAAATAAATAAAGGAAAAAATGTAGATATTGATAAATAACCTAAATAAAAGTATATTTATTTGATTTCAGAGTAATATTTAGCATATCAATGTAAATATTTAGTTTTTATTGTACAAAATGAATGTATTTATTAATATATTCCTGTATTTATTTATGTATTTATTTATTTATACTTTAGTCATTTTTGGTCCTCCATATCAGAGTACACATTTCCACATTTTGATTACATTCCAATATTTAAATATTAAGATTATAGTATTTTCATGTACGGTATGTTTTCAATAGTTTTAGATCTACAATTGCTTTTCTTGAAAAGATGCAAGACTCTTGTAGAACAGAGCAGTAGTCCCAGTTTAACTGAATTAATGACAGGTGCAGGGGAGTCTTGCCAGGGTGCCAGCAACATGTTATTTGGGGATGGCAAACATCCAGGACACTAGAATCAAATATAGACCATTTCTGAGATCTCTGTCACTAATGAAAACAATACCATCAAAGCAGAGCTTTGTGTATCGATACAACAACAGATGCAGGGTTTAAGACTAACAGACCAAACCTGCTCTTCATTGGAGGTGGAACAAGGCCGCCCCCCATGTGATTGTATAGAGCACTTCCTCGTGTCAAGTTGGCATGTGCTGAGGCGTGCTGCCTGCAGCCTTGAACCCTATTTCTGTCTGTGTCTATGCCAGACGAGGCTTTATTATTAGTATGTGTGTGTGTGTCAGTAGGACTAATCAGGAGGGGTCAGGGCCAAAGCATGTCACAACCTGCTCCACTGCTGGCTAGCAAGTCCATGAGCCACCGCCTTACCCATTATGTCCTGGACTGAAACTGAGCTAGACATTGACGATTAATAAATCTAATAAATATATTCTGACCTTCTACAATTTGTAAAATACAGTGCGTAGTGTATATTTGAAAACATTCAGGAGGATTACAGAAGAGTCACCTGAGAAGCATGTAATATAACGCATCCCTGTTTTCCAAAAGTGAACAACAGGAAATAAAAATCCAAATTTGGGCTCACCAACACATACTGTATGATATTATAATTTGGATTAATATTAATGTAGCAGCTGCTATTGAGATGCTCTGGCAAATGGAGTTTAAACATTATTTTGGACAATTATTTGGGGGTCAAGAATGGGCATGTTGGTTAAAATGATCGTGAAGCACACTTTACGGAAACCTTATTATTTGACTCGAACAACACAAGACACAATATTGTGCATACAAGTACAAATGAGAAATGAGATTTTGACATCACATGATTAACATGTTGTTCAGTTTTCCATTTTGGAATATCAGATTTCATACAATTTTGTCCCAAGACCCTTTTTTGTCTTGTAGCAACTAATCTGCAAATCGGGGAGCAAGCATGTATTGTAAACAGCACAAGTTAAGTATTCTCTTTAAGAAAACACCTTTGATCTAGTTTTGGAGCAGATGGAGTGTGCTGAGATGAAAGACTGATTGAGACCTGATCAAATTCGGTTAATTGTACCTGATATTGTTTATCTTTAAAGCCTGAACCAAGCCATTAATGTAAAATTAGCTGTAAAATAATAGTTAATACTAATAACAGTTATGTACTGTTTTTGTGAGCCCTACTTTTTAAAATTAGATAAGATATTCTTTTTTATGATTGTAGCTTCCCTATAGTTCTTCAGATTAAATAATTTGTTGTATCAATTTATATATTATTATATGAACATGTATGTAATCTATGTATATATACATTTGACCACCCTAACAGTGGCTAGTTTCTAAACTAACAGGCTAAAGGTAACAGCAGGGTGAGTGTACCCTTATTATAATGGATCCATGGTAGTACCTTGTTCTGGGCGACCAGGACAGGTGACAAGAGCAGGCAGCAGAATAAATTAAATTATCTGGAAATTAATAACTAATGAATTAAATGTCTGTATCAGAAAAGGGCAGCCATAATTTCAATATAAAATAATATGAATAGATCTCATCGATAAGTTGATGAGCTAGCTTGTCTGAACAGGCTAGCTAGCTAGCACGCTAAAGCTAACATGATGTTTTCGCGTTTCTATTTGTTTCTGGATTATGCCAATTTCTTAACACCTTAGAATATCCATGCAACTTTTAAGTTGGAACATGCAACACGAATACCTTTTAAAAGTTTCTGGTACAAGTTGTGTTTTGAAGGCTCTTGTCCCGATGACTTGGCTCTCGTCAATGGCATGCGTCGCGCCAACAGTAGCAGCCAGTTCCAGCAGCATGGTCATAAACACGGAGCTAAAAGATGAAACGGCCAAGTGTCAGGTATTTGGACGACGAAAGCCCTGATAATCAGAATTTAGTTGTGTTTACAGCGTGTTATTGCATTCACAGTTTTACTACATACAGAAAAGCCTGCAGATAAGTTTACTCATGCTTTCTCTACAAGAATCTGTCAGAATTGTGTGAGAGGCAGATAATAATCTTGAGTCTTGGGAGAAGTGTTCTTACAGTAAATTGATGCAAGTGTTTTTCTACTTGATTTACGTCATTCACCAATCTGTCTCCCTGTCTTCAAGGTCAATGTACAGATTATTAAAGAAGGAGCAGGAATAATGGCCCTGGACGTCATACACTATTCATCACTCACTTACTGCACTGCTGGACCCATATTAGGAGGACTTCCCCATGTACGTGAGTAACAGGATTTACAGGCATCCTGTTTGATTTCAGGCTGTCTTGACAGGGTCCCTACAAGGTCTTAAAATCATTGCATTGGTGAATTTGGAGATGATAGCTTAGAAACACTGGTGAACTTCTTTATATTGCCTGCTCCTCAGATGTTACATTTGTCAGCCACTATTATGTTGTTGTAATACTGGTAAGACACAGTCAACAAGCTACAATCCAACAAGCTACAATTAACAAGCTACAATCCAACAAGCTACAATCCAAGCACTTTAAGTCAGTTAAAAGGCCCGTGGTAGTTTTTTTTTTTTTTATGGTCTGAAAAAGACTTGAAGGAACCTGTTTGTTAGTGCATTATTTTAGCAATCTTCCATTGCACTGATCCATTGGGATTTTATGTTAATTTAACGGCCCCAATAGAAAGTTCTTGTGTCTGGCAGCCTTTTGTTTTGTGGGAAAACAAGCAGGTCAGTAGTTAAGAGCCATGCCAAGTCCAAGGCTTGACACAAGTTATTTGCAGGGTTTGAAAAGTTTACCCTGCCTTGAACCCAATTGTTGTAACCACAATACAATTATATACTGAGTTTATTTTATTTTATTTATTTATTTTCAATTCAAAAGGCAAAGGCTTCAATGCCTTGGCAACCTTATCTTGGCAATACATCACATGTACGGCTAAACATACAATTTCAAAGTATTGCCTTAAAAGACAGCCAATAACAATGTTGAGTTAGTTGAGGTAATGTGAGAGACATTGACACATTTACCATGCCCAACTTTAGCCGTTATTAAGTGGCATATTTTATTAAAATAGCTTTTAATTAATATATCAATATGAAATTCATAGAACATCTCTGCGCAATAGCTAGTTTTTATTGTCATGTTCAATTCGTCTCATAACTACTTCACTGTTTGTTTGAATAACAATCACATCTTTGTTATTGGACAGTCATATTGTGAGCTATGGCGCCGCCTATTTTCCTTGGTTCCATCCTTCTTTGCATCTAACTCCATCCCAGTGGAGGCAGTGGGGGTGGATCTTTATGGATTTGGGGGTGTAACTGTACCCACAGATGGGGTGAGAGGGATGGGCTAACTTGAAGTCTGTGTGTTTTGGGGGGAGGGACAATGAAACCACGTGAAGGGGCAGATGCAAAAGACCAAACAGCTCCGCCACGCAGTAGTGTTACCATGGCTACGGGGATAACGGATGAATGAATGACATCACAGCGGCGGGGAGGTGAGAGAGTGTAAAATTGATTTGGTGTTCGGGGCATGGGAGGCGGCTCTTGTCGTGGTTTCGAAATCTCCTCATTGGTGTGTGGATCGGTGTCTTGCGTGGAAGCGTTCAGTGCCGGTAAGATACTTTGTCTCCCTAAGGACAACATTTTCTGCTTGTTTTTAGCTTAGGCGCTGCCTCACATGGCTATCTCTTTCAGCTCTCAATAACATGCACAATTGGAGGTGTAGATTGAGTGTGTGATAGTGAACTTAAGGCCATGTGCATTGACTCTCATGGCACTGAAAGGAAAGGCAGATGTGGCATGCAGTTGTCGAGAACTAAATATATTATAGAAGATCACAGAGGGGATCGTGTGTGTTTTTGGCACCGAACAGCTGACTGCGCAAGAATAATTTATCTCACTTGTTCTTTATATCAGGTTTCAGGCTAAATTAATACTGGAGTGCTTCTCTGAGATAACTCAGTTTGTTGATGCTTGCAGATACACAGGAATCTCACAGGGCTGTCTATTTTTCCCCATAGACTGCAAACATAAGTTGTTTATTGATTGAAGTTTTTTTTTTTACTTTTTTGATGAGAAAGAAATATGTCTATTTCACTGGCCACAAAATAACCTCAAGAAAGATTTAACAGCAAAATCAATAATTTTGTGAAGATGTCTATTGTAAGTATTTATTTAAATTTACTGAATGTTTTTACCAGATTTTACCAGTAAAAAACATTTCACTCGTTAACACTATTCTTCCATTGTCTTCGCTTTTATGTTACCATTGGTTTGTATTTACTTAACATTGTAAGAAGGGCCCCTATATAAAGTACCAGTGTCTGTTGGTCTGGCGCTCTTTAGTTTCCGCAGTGGGGGGCACAAGTGGGTCAGCCGTCAAGTGCTGTGCCAAGTCCAATCTTTCATTTTGTCCAAAGCACAAAACGTAACAAAACCGCTTTATTGCCAGACATCACTCATGACAGAAGTTCTTTAGAGGGCGTGAAAAGTTTTGCTCTAGCGGTTTTTCTCATCCCATTATGATGTACAACCATAATGAATGCATAATTTTTACAGTTATAGATTTTCTTTGTGTCAGTTCAGAAGATAAATGTGTGCATCAAAAGCATCATTGTGTTTGTGGCACTTAAAACAAACAAATGTTTCTTTGCACTTTTCACCATTTACATAATTTCAGCATCTATGAAAGACTTTACCATTGTGCCCAAGGCAGAGTTTTCCACTTTTATTGGCTTGTGTTATGGTGTCTTGATGCAAATGAGCTTAGTTTGCATAACATCATTTTCATGAGGACAGTCTCAAAACATTATTGAATGTTAAGAGTAGAGTTTCATAAAAACTAACATTTTAAAGCCTAAATAACTTCAATACTTTCCACAACTCGTCTACCTTTATCATTATTATCTTTTCATGATGTAAGTTGGTAACAGTAGGTCAGTAGCGGTGCTAGTTGATTGTGTGTTTCTGCCTGTGTAGTTATTGATTACTTAAAGTCAAAGCCTGTATTGTATTGTGCTTTTGGAAAACTGGACCTCCATATCCCTCTGGAGACAAAGACATTGAAAATCATTTTCTCAATTACATTTTAAGATCCATTTGTAATGAATGATTGAACAGATGGTGGACGAAGTTAGCATTTAACTGGGTTTGAAATGATTCATTTGATATTATAGGATTTCAAAGCACATTTGCTTTTATGACTGATTAAAGATCAGTTGATCCATTTGCAAAATACGATCTTTCCAGAGATGTTGATTCTTTAATTCCTAATCTATTATGGAATATGTCTGTGTACGGTACGCGTCTGCATGCATTATAGTACATTCTCATTGTGTGTAAGTTTCTACTGTGAGTTGCTTTTTTTAGATGGGGATGGTTAGAGTAATACCGTAACACTGTGACTTGTCATTAGTTCTTCTGGACCCATAGCAAATCGTCCCAT